ATATAAAATGCATATGAAAAAAAAACATGATTAATATCTATCAATATACACTTGAAGACTTTTTTTCATAAATAATACTCTTTTTAAAAATATTTCCCAAAATAGCACATCTAGAACATTATTTACACAACTAACACTCTTTACTGTTCACGTATTAAAATAATCAATCATTTTATATTATGATCGATTATTTCGCGCAATGAACTCTCGCTCAAGCGAAGAAACCCTTCGCTTGAGCGAGGAAATCTGTAACAAAGGGGTAATCTCCGGTCAATTATCGCTCAAGCGAAGAAACCTTTCGCTTGAGCGAGGAAATCTGTAACAAAGGCGTAATCTCCGGTCAATTCTCGCTCCAGCGACGGGTATTTTCGCTTGAGCGAGAAGTGATTAAAATATGTGGTGACCCAAGTTGCGTTATGTGGCTAATTGCGTTGGACATTTAGCCACATAATACAACTTGGGTCACCACATATTTCAATCACTTCTCGCTCAAGCGAAAGTACCCATCGCTTGAGCGAGAATTGACCCCGAGATTTTAGATAGCGGTTCTAGAACTAACCGCTATTAAAAGTATAGTTTAGATAGCGGTTAACATGGAACCGCTTTTTTGTATGGAAAATATAGAGGTACCTTGTTGGTTGTAGTAGCACAAGATGGCCGCAACAACATCCTCCCCATTGCGTTTGCAGTGGTTGAAGGTGAAATAAGTGATGCCTGATTTTTTTTTCTTAAAAAACCTTCAAAGATATGTCACACCCCAGCAAGGATTATGCCTCATATCAGACCGACATGAATCCATTAGAAGTGCATACATGAGAAATGGAAGCGGATGGATAGAAAATAATTCAATGCATGTCTATTGCATTAGACACATTGCATAGAATTTTATGAGACATTTCAAAAACACCGCACTGAGGAAAGATGTTGTAAATATGGGTAATTCCTTTGCTTCAAATTTGTTACAATTTATTCATTATTTAATTGTTGCTAATAAATATTTATATTAACTATGTTTTTTTAATATTGTTGTAGCGTATGGGATGACTGAACCACGATTCTACTATTATTACAACATCTTGAAGCAATGTGACATAAAAGCAGCTAATTGGTTGGATGAGATACCTAGAGAAAAATGGTCACTTGCATGGGACAATGGACGACGTTGGGGCCACATGACGACCAACATAGCAGAGTCTATCAACTCTGTTTTGAAAAAAACAAGAAATCTACCTATTTGCTCCATGGTCAACGCAACGTACACCCGCTGCAACAAATTTTTCATTGAAAGAGGGAGGCAGATAGATGCCATGATCAATGCTGGTCATGTATACTCTGAAATTTTGGTCACGAATTTAGAGGAAGCACAAACACAGGCAAACACGCATAGGGTCATATCTTTTGACAGGTCTACCACAAAATTTTTAGTAGAAGAAACACAAAACTCGCGTGAAGTTCGACCAGCAGGGAAGTTTGCAGTTTACCTTGATGAGTTATGGTGTGACTGTGGCAAATTCCAAAAATTTCACATGCCTTGTTCATATGTTCTTGCTGCATGCAAATATGCACACCATGACTTCAACAACTATATTAATTCAGTGTATACCTTACAACAAGTTTCAAAGGTATACGGAACACAATTTGGGTTATTGCAAAATGAAGAATATTGGCCAACATACACAGGACCTACTTTGTGTGCAAATCCAGAAATGAAAAGAACTTCAAAGGGCCGACCAAAATCAAGTCGTATAAGAACTGAGATGGACATTACAGAAAATCAAAGTAGGATTAAAAAATGTTCATATTGTCATACCCCTGGTCATAGCAGAAGAACATGTCCCAATGTTGCATGTGCATCTACTTCGCATCATTAGATTGTGTTAGTTAAGAAATGTCTCAATGTATGAATCTTAGGAGTTTTTCAATTAATTGAAAGTGATAAAGATCTTATTGAATCATTTGATAAAATGAAGATCTTGTGGGTTTGATGAAGTCAAAGGTTATTTAAGGAACTTTTTGCTAACTATTTTAATCTAATCAATTAAAACTTGTTGTTATCAATTAAAATAACTTAGAAAGTTTTGTGAAAAGTTTTGAAGAAACTCATTCTGCAGGAGCTGCATAATCAAGCGAAGAAACTCCGCTTAAGCGGAAAACACATTAGATAGCGATTCTAGAACTAACCGCTATTAAAAGTACATTTTAGATAGCGGTTAACGTGGAACCACTATTAAAAGTCACACATATATGATAACGGTTCCACTTTAACCGCACTTAAAATTAAACATATAATAGCGATTCCACGTTAACCGCTATCTAAAATGTATTTTTAATAGCGGTTAGGTCTAGAACCGCTATCTAATGTGTTTTCCGCTTAAGCGGAGTTTCTTCGCTTGAGCGAGAGAGAAATAATCGATTGTATATTCGATTATTTTAAAATTATGATCGATTAGTTCAAATCATAATCGATTATAAATTTCTTCGCTCAAGCGATGGATGTCTCGCTTGAGCGAGAATTGACCACGGTCCAACGCAGTTACTCAATCAATTCTCACTCGAACGAAGTAATTCATCGCTTGAGCGAGAATTGACCAAGGGCTAAACGTCCAACGCAGTTAGCCACATAACGCAACTTGGGTCACCACATATTTTAATCACTTCTCGCTCAAGCGAAAATAGTCGTCGCTGGAGCGAGAATTGACCGGAGATTACCCCTTTATTACAGATTTCCTCGCTCAAGCGAAGGGTTTCTTCGCTTGAGCGATAATTGACCGGAGATTACCCCTTTGTTACAGATTTCCTCGCTCAAGCGAAGGGTTTCTTCGCTTGAGCGAGAGTTCATTGCGCGAAATAATCGATCATAATATAAAATGATCGATTATTTTAATACGTGAACAGTAAAGAGTGTTAATTGTGTAAATAATGTTCCAGATGTGCTATTTTGGGAAATATTTTTAAAAAGAGTATTATTTATGAAAAAAAGTCTACACTTGAAAGTCCGGAACCATTTAAGTACTTAGCAGTGGGTACACGGAAAGATATGCTTCTATATTTCACATTTCAAATCCTTTTTTTTTTAAGTATTATTTCTCAGATGATATTTTTATGTAATAATTATAATAAATATTTATGTTTAGCATAAATAAGTTTTTTATTTTCATATATTATTAATTATTCTATTATGTTTTTAATCATCACCCCATTAAAATTGTTAATTTTATGTCTCGTGAATTATTAAGTGTTAGTTTGAACTCCTAATTATGTGTCCAAAAAGTTAAAAATAGTCAAATCCATTTTATCTTACTTATTTGTCAAAATAGAGAAGGTAAATTTTGGAGTCTTTTTGAGAGAAAAAAGAAAAAGAGATACTATTGTCTTAGTAACATTAAGATTGTTTTCTCCCGTTGTCTCAAACTGAAATTTTGGCAATAAGTTCTTGGTATACATTTTTTATTTTGATCGTTAGGATCGTCAATTGAAGGTCTATGGTTAGAAAGATATCCGTCTCATACTATGATTGAATTTTAGGTTCTCAGTCCTTCAAATTGTAGAGTATTATTGCTTTGATATATTGACTGTTTGTAAATATTTATTTGTGCATTTGAATTGACTCTCTTGTACTCATATTTTAATCTTAATAGAGTTTAATTGACTGACTTGTATCCGTTGATTTTTACTTCTAATAATAAGGGGTTTACGATGTTAAAAATATTGATATTCTTTTTGTGATTATTTTTGCCATTTCTATAGTTGTTACTCCTCAAAGATTCTTACAAGTTTAGAAAAATTATTTTTATTGCATACTTTGATATTTTTTGTTGTTATATTATTGTTTACCTTATTAGAGTAGTATCAAAGTTCTTGGTTTAGTACTATATTTACGCATGAATGATAGAGACAATACAAATATAATTGTTTTAAATGATACAAATTATCGTTTGTGAAAGAATATGATGAAAGATTTGTTGTTTGTGAAGAAATTGTATCTTATAATCTTTGTTACGTATAAGTTAGATTCCATGTTTGATAAAGAATGAGAATCTGAGCACTAACAAGTTTGTGGTTTTATTTGGCAATGTTAAAAGAAAAATTTTATAATCAAATTTCTAAAAAGACACATTGTATGATGATTAGTGGGAACTAAATGCATAGTAATCTTTTAGTGGAAAATTTTGTCTTTATCACAATGGGTGACCTAGCTCATCCTATAAATAACAAACTCTTCTAATTATCATATTAATTAAAATGAGTGTTTCTTCTTTATGATAGTTTCTCCTTAATTCTTGGTTAAATAATTAGAACTTCAATAACAAACAAAGTAATACTTCGCTAATTTTATAAATTCATATGTCTACCCATTGCAATTTTTTTATTTTATTTTTGGGGTGTAATAAATAATTTAAGAAATACTTAAAATTTTCAAAATATATTTTAAAAAAAAGTTGCATGGGAGAAATATTTAGTGTAAATAAAATAAAAAAGTTATTCTTTTCATATATGATAATTACAATGAAATAATATTAGTTTTTCTCACAATTTAGCAATTTTATTTGCATATTTGATTTCCCACACAATATCAACAATTAGTTTCACTTGTCGATTGTAGAAAATCAAATTGTAACTATTATAACTAAAAGGAATTAACATTAATAATTACCAAATTAGTGACTCCAAATAATATTTGATTTCATAATATTTCCTTAACTTAATGGTGACAAATATCCTTAAAACCATATCAACATTGAGATTTTGAAATATTAATACAGAATATGCCACTCTCGATTATCGAAGTGTAAATACAATAATGTTATAAGAAAAAAATGTAATAAGTTTTAAGAAAAGTCTAATGCACCAAAAAATTATTCGAACATGAAAAGAAAACCTCTTATTTTTCTAGAAAAGAGTTAGTTCTTTCTATGTGATTCATTTTCTTAACTTGGTTGGAACATTTAATATATTACTTTAGTGTTGAAATTTTATACCAAAATTAAAATAAATATCAAGCGGAGATAGCTCGGTTGGGAGAGTGTTAGGTCGAAGATCCGAACGTCACGTGTTTAATCCACATTCACCGCATTGACTTAATTTTTAATTTTAATCAATGTTCAACAATGTTTAAAGATGTCATCAAACATTAACCTAGATCGAATTCTCGAGAAACATTGACAATTATGTTATAAAATTTGACTTTCACTTATGAAGAGCTAGGAGTAAGGGGATGTTCAAGTTTTTGGTATGAAAACAATACATTAGAGCAAGGAAACCTACAATGAAATGTAAAAACTGTAAGCTAAACCTAAGAAAGCAAATATACTTGTATAGAAATAAAATGACATGAAATGTCAACCAAATGCAAGAAACTTATACTAATCAAAGTAGTAGTTAAAGCATTTAGGTGCAAAGAATAGTAAATGAAAGCATTTACACCAAACATCAAATAAAATCTAATTTTATGAAAGCATTTAAAGTTGGAAACATTACAGGAAACATTGAATCTAAAACCACAAGATATAGATCCATAAAAGTTTTAAACTTTTACAATCCAATTGATTAGATCAAATTAATCCATTGCATTCAAATGATCTAAAGGCACCATTAAATTTCCAAGCCAAATAATCACTTACACTTAGAAATTGATTCTTAAGGCAAATTGAGGATTTCAACCAAACAATCTCAATTACATTATTATAATACATTATAAACAAATAGAATTATGAAAAATCAAATATAAGCCATACAAAACAAGTTTCAATAGCTTAATCAACCTTAAAGAAAATTAAAAATGCATTACAACAAGTAGAAGTACAGAAATACATAAATACAAAAAATTAAATGGAAGAGATAGAAAAGAGAAAATAAATATGATTTAAAACATCTTGAATTGATAAGCTTTCAAGGAATAATTCATACAAGTACCACAAAATTCAGATATGAAAAGCTAACTAAGAACAAGCATAGAAGAGAGAGAAAAATTAGAGAGAAAACTTGATACTAGATATAGACAAGGTAAAATTAGAAGATATGTTTGTCTTAACTTGTGTCTTTTAGTTTTCCCAAGCCTTTATATAAACAACAAACAAAATTGAATCTTCATACAAATAAATCAATTACATAAATTAGAACTTAGTAACCATCATGCAAAAATGGACTGTGACATTTTCGCTCAACAGATCTTTTCTTTGCCCAGTGAGATTGTAATTAAGTTAGTTTGTTAGAATAAGATTTGCTTAGTGGAATTTTCTCTCAGCTCAGCAAAATGGAAAAATCTAGAATGAACTCTCGGATAGTAATTCGCTAAGCAAAATTCATTTGCGACTGAACGAATCTCTTAAGTCAAAACTTCTTTCTTTCTTTAATTTATCATTCTTATATCATTGTATAATTAAATAGTTAAAATGCACAATTTAAACAATAGATTAGATACAAAATTATTTATTTCCATTTTATTAAAACTATGTTGATGATAAATATTTAAATAATTTAATTATATTATTTATATCATAAATATATTGATAAAATGTATTCATCAAGATGTGTGAACTATTAGTCCAAAACTCTTTAGCTTATCAAGCGAGTCTAATTCTCTTTGATTACATTTTTCCATTTTGTCCAGATTTTGTCGACAATCATTAATGCACATTGGTTTTATGATCCTCAACATCATTAATAATATTTAGCACTATATTAATTATGATTTCTTTTGGAACAACTATATTATTTATTAGAGGAATCTTTTGGAGTTTTCATCCTCAATTGACTCATCTTGCCTTTTAGCTTATTTTTCTTATTTGAAAATTTTACCTTTTTGAATCTTTTGGAGTTTTCATCCTCTATTACTTCATCTTGCCTTTTAACTCATATTTTTATTCGAGTATTTCTACTTTTTAGAAGCAACGAGTCACAACACTTGTATCTTCAAATGAGATACCATATCTTTTGAATTGAGACCTTTAAGAATATTTTCAAATGACACATGATATCATTATGAATGGTGCATATGAATTTTTTTTCATGACTACATTATGACTATCATGAATAAGGATAATATGATAATTATGATTGACTAATTTTTTTAGAAAGAAAAAATATTATTAAAAGTTTTTATGAATATATTATATTTATTAAGAATTTTTTATTTATTTATTGTGGTATAGTGTTATATATTAAACTAACATAGTGCTATTTTCAATAATATTTTTATATTTACTTAAAAGAATTATATTATTATGTCTTCTATGGAATTTAATTTTCTTTTTAATTTTAGAAATGAATGAAATGAGGCATTATATGATGGTAAGTAGAAGAAAATTGAATATACATTGATGAGTTCCTAGTTGCCTCAGAGACGAAAGAGGTCATCCCTAGGAGGATCACTAGAAGTGTCGCCGCCATCAAAACGAAGCGGTCGGAGTGACGTGAAGGTTTCGACTTTCCGCGTTTTTTATTTTGGTGTGGTTACAACGCCTTTAGGTTGTCCAATAACCGGGCTGAACCTAGAGGCGAAGTTTTCGAAAGGGCGCTCTTGGATTGTCCGATAACCGAGCTAATCCAAGAGCTAGTTTTGAAAGGGTTCTGGAGTCGTCACCGATGTTTTTACCGGAAACATCGGAAAAGGAGTAAAAAGGCATTGGTTTTCAAAAAACCAACTTTGGTCATTAGAACCAGAGTTGGGTAAGAGAGTTAGTTACGAGTAAAGGAAGTATTAGTTCCTTTACGATGCCCTTTCGGGTTCCCTATGATAGGCCAACTATTAAGAAATAATTAAACCGGTGAAAAATGTGCTTTTACCCTTTTATTTGCAGAATTTTAAGATTATGACTACATGGCCCTATCTATTGCGCAATTTAAATAAAGCAGTAAAAAGGTGAAAGGAGACAGTAGAAACCTTCGAAGCAAGCTTTCTATTTATTTCCTTAATAAATTGAGTGCGTTTTGGCAGCCCTTCACTCTACACAGCGTCAAAAATCTCTCAAACGCTCAGGAACACTATAAGAAACGCTCAGAAACTCCGGAAATGCTTCGGAGGGGTTCTAGAGAGAGAAAATCTAGAGAGAAGGAGGAGAAAACTGTGTTTTTCTGTGTGGAATGAAGGGAATAGGACCCCCTATTTATAGGGATTCGCGCCTGTCAGGTCGAGGCAGCCGTCTCGTCTGACATGGTCGAGACGGTCGTCTGGGAATTCGGGACGGCGGTCTCGCCAAATGATACGGCGGTCTCGCCAAACGATACAGCGGTCTCGCCAATCGAGACGACGGTCTCGCCACTTCCGCGAGGCGAGACGGCGGTCCCGAATTTGGGACGGCGGTCTCGACCTAAAAAGGCGAAAGTCCTTATTTTGGTGCCAAAAATCCCTCCTATCCTAGTATGGGGCCTAATAGTCTCTCCTAGTGGCTTTTGAGGCTTCATCCATCCTTGAATAGAAGGTCTTCTGATCTTTATTATGAGGCCAGACAAGATTTGGGGTCTACAAGAAGCATGACTAAAAGGGAGGCTTCCTCCTCTCCCTTCATTTTAATTTACTAAGTATTTTCTTTTCCTATGTTTTTTACTTATTTTTGTTTTCTTTTTGTAGGCTCACTTTTTGCATCTCCTTTTTGAAGAATACCACCTCTTCTTGTTGGAAAAGAGGACTTGGATAAATAGGATACATGTGTGGGTAGTCCAAAGGTGTAAGACACTCCTTTTTCATGTCCTACACCCCATTTGAAGAAGAAGAAGCTTAGCTTGCAGGTATGATTGGCTTGGGACAACCCAAAAGGAAGCCCACCTTTTTTTTCTTGTTCTCCACACCTTTAGAGGTATTTTTGGTGGGCTAGGATGAATTTAATATATTTGGACCATGGAGACTCTAGCCTTTAGGTGTAGATTAAGTTTATGTCTCCTTTTGTAATTCCACCTAGGTCCCTCTCCCAAAAACTTGTAAATGGAAGGCTTCCCCTCATGTAATTAGGTTGAATATTTATGAAAGGTTTGTGAGGTTTCTTAGAGTGTTTCATCTCTTTGAGTGTCTTATCTTGAACCTTGGTTCAACTGGCGGCAATCACCACTTATCTAGGGTGACTCATCCTCTAGTGGCGTGCCAACACTCTACCACCACCATACTTCTCTTCTCTTCATCTTTTCTTCTTTATTTCTTCACTTCATTAATTTATCCAAGGAGCTGGTCCATTTTTCCAACCCTTGTCTTTATTCTTTTATAGTTTCATTCCATCTCTTCCTCCCTCCATAATCCTTGAAAATGAACCTTCACATCTAGATAATCAACTATCTTAATGTTCAGTGAAAATTTTTCTTGGATTTACTTACTTTATTGCTTAAAATTCTGCAACTTATCTTCTTAAAATTTTTCACCTTAATTTATTTTATATCACAAATATTTTTAAAGAGGGAGGAAATGTAAGATATCAAAATAGTCAATGTACAATGGACCAATTATTTATAAGTGAGGAAGATTGTGGGTCTAATATAACATAAAAAATCCAAAGTCAAAAGACAAGATGTATTCATGGGCTAGAGTTTAATTAGCTATTGGGTTAGATAATAGGTTTTAATTTTCATTTTTTATTTTGTGATAATACATTTAGATGACTTTTCATATTTCTTAGGTACGTTTGTAGTGTATTTAATCTTCCTAATGTCTTTGTCATAATCTTCTTTGTGATAGTTTCTCCTTAGTTTTCCTGTTAAACAATTAGAACTTCAATAACAAACAAAGTACTACTTCGCTATTTTTATAAATTCCTATGTTTACCCCTTGCAATTTTTTTATTTTATTTTTGGGGTGTAATAAATAATTTAAGAAATACTTAAATTTTTCAAAATATATTTTTTAAAAATGTTGCATATAAGGGAGAAATATTTAGTTTGTTTACGATGAAATAATAAATATTTAGTGTAAATAACATAAAAAAAAAGATTATTCTTTTCATATATGATAATTACAACGAAATATTATTAGTTTTTCTCATAGTTTAGCTGTTTTATTTGCATATTTGATTTCTCATACAATATCAACAATTAGTTTCACTTGTCGATTGTGGAAAACCAACTTGTAACTATAATAATAAAAGGAATTAGCATTAATAATTACCAAATTAGTGACTCCAAATAATATTTGATTTCATAATATTTCCTTAACTTATTGTTGACAAATATTCATAAAACCATATCAACATTGAGATGTTGAGATATTAATATAGAATACGCCATTGTCGATTACCAAAGTGTAGATACAATAATGCTATAAGAAAAAAATGTAATAAGTTTTAAGAAAAGTTTAATGCACCAAAAAATTATTCGAACATGAAAAAAAACCCTTATATAATAATTAATATTCATATTTTATAGAAAAGAGGAAATTCTTATTTTTCTAGAAAAGAGGAAGTTCTTTCTATGTGATTCATTTTTTTAACATGGCTGGAACATTTAATATCTTACTTTAGTGTTGACATTTTACACCAAAATTAAAATAAATATCTAGCGGGGATAGCTTAGTTGGGAGAGTGTCGATCGAAGATCCGAAGGTCACGTGTTGGATTCATGTTCACCGCATTGACTTAATTTTTAATTTAAATCAATGTTTAACAATGTTTAAACATTTTGCCGCTTAGATGTCATCAAACGTTACCCTAGATCGAATTCTCGAGGAGCATTGACAATTAAATTTGACTTTCACCTATGAAGAGCTGGGAGTGACTTTCACCTATGAAGAGCTGGGAGTATGTAGGATGTTCAAGTTTTTGGTATGAAAACAATACATTAGAGCAAGGAAACCTATGATGAAATGCAAAAACTGTAAGCTAAACCTAAGAAAGCAATAAAATGACATGAAATGTAAACCAAATGCATAAACTTATACTAATCAAAGCTGTAGTCAAAGCATTTAGGTGCAAAGAATAGTAAATGAAAGCATTTACACCAAACATCAAATAAAATCTAATTTTATGAAAGCATTTAAAGTTGGAAACATTACAAGGAAACATTGAATCTAAAGCCACGAGATATAAATCCATAAAAGTTTTAAACTTTTACAATCCAATTGATTAGATCAAATTAATTCATTGCATTCAAATGATCTAAAGGCACCATTAAATTTCCAAGTTAAATAATCACTTAAACTTAGAAATTGATTCTTAATGCAAATTGAGGATTTCAACCAAACAATATCAATTACATTATTGTAATACATTATAAATAAATATAATTATAAAGAATCAAATCTAAGCCATAAAAAACAAGTTTCAATAGCTTAATCAACCTTAAAGAAAATTAAAAATGCATTACAACAAGTAGAAGTACATAAGTACATAAATACAAAAAATTAAATGGAAGAGATAGAGAAGAGAAAATAAATATGATCTAAAGCATCTTGAATTGATAAGCTTCAAGGAATATTTCATACAAGTGCCACAAAATTCAAAAATGAAAAGCTAACTGGGAACAAGCATAGAAGAGAGAGAAAAATTAGAGAGAAAACTTGATACTAGATCTAGACAAGGTAAAAATGGAAGATAACTTTGTGTTAGCTTGTGTCTTTTAGTTTTCCCAAGCCTTTATATAAACAACAAACAAAATTGAATCTTCATACACAAAAATCAATTACATAAATTAGAACTTAATAACCATCATGCAAAAATTTATTTTATGACATTTTCGCTCAACGGATCTTTCCTTCGCTCAGTGAGATTGCAATTAAGTTAATTTGTTAGAATAAGATTTTGCTTAGTGGAATCTTCTCTCGCTCAGCAAAATGGAAAAATCTAGAATGAACTCTCTGATAGTAATTTGCTAAACAAAATTCATGTGCATTGAGTGAATATCTTAAGTAAAAACTTCTTTCTTTCTTTAATTTATCATTCCTATATCATTGTATAATTAATTAGTTAAAATGAACAATTTAAACAATAGATTAGATACAACATTATTTATTTCCATTTTATTAAAACTATGTTGATGATAAATATTTAAATAATTTAATTATATTATTTATATCATAAATATATTGATAAAATGTATTCATCAAGATGTGTGAACTATTAGTCCATGTTGCCGCCGTCAAAACGAGGCGGTCGGAGCGACGCGACGGTTTCGACTTTCCGCGTTTTTAATTTGGGTGGTTACAACGCCTTTAGGTTGTCCGATAACCGGGCTGAACCTAGAGGCGAAGTTTTCGAAAGGTGCTCTTGGATTGTCCGATAACCGGGCTAATCCAAGAGCTAGTTTTGAAAGGGTTCTGGAGTCGCCACCGATGTTTTTACCGGAAACATCGGAAAAGGAGTAAAAAGGCGTTGGTTTTCAAAAAAACCAACTTTGGTCATTAGAACCAGAGTTGGGTAAGGGAGTTAGTTACGTGTAAAGGGAGTATTAGTCCCTTTACGAACCCCCTTTCGGGTTCCCTATGATAGGCCAGCTATTAAGAAATAATTAAACTGGTGAAAAATACACTTTTACCCTCTTATTTGCAGAATTTCAAAGTTTATGACTACATGGCCCTATCTATTGCATAATTTAAATAAAGCGGTAAAAAGGTGAAGGAGAGAGTAGAAACCTTCGTAGCAAGCTTTTCTATTTATTCTTTAGTAAAATAGGTGCGTTTTGGCAGCCCTTCACTCTACACAGCTTCAAAAATCTCCCAAACGCTCAAGAACACTCTAAGAAACGCTCAAAAACTCCGGAAATGCTTCGGAGGGGTTCTAGAGAGAGAAAATCTAGAGAGAAGGAGGAGAAACTGTGTTTTTTCTGTGTGTGAAATGAGGGGAATAGGACCCCCTATTTATAGTGATTCGCGCCTGTCAGGTCGAGACGGCTGTCTCGTCTGACAAGGTCGAGACGACCGTCTCGTTTGACAAGGTCGAGACGGCCGTCTGGAAATTCGGGACGGCCGTCTCGCCAAACGAGACGGCGGTCTCGCCCTCCGCGAATGGCGAGACGACCGTCTTGCCAATCGAGACGGCGGTCTCGCCACTTCCGCGAGGCGAGACGACGGTCTCGACCTAAAAAGGCGAAAATCCTTATTTTGGTGCCAAAAATCCCTCCTATCCTAGTATGGGGCCTAATAGTCTCTCCTAGTGGTTTTTTAGGCTTCATCCATCTTCAAAAAGGAGGTCTTCTAGTCTTTATTATGAGGTCGAGCAAGATTTGGGGTCTACAGTCCAAAACATTTTTTATTACATTTTTCCATTTTGTCTCATTTTTGTCGACAATCATTAATGCACATTGGTTTTATGATCCTCGACATCATTAATAATATTTACACCATATTAATTATGGATTTCTTTTGGAAAAACTATATTATTTATTAGAGGAATCTTTTGAAGTTTTCATCCTCACTTGACTCATCTTACCTTTTAGCTTATTTTTCTTATTTGAAAATTTTACCTTTATGAATCTTTTGGAGTTTTCATCCTCCATTACTTCATCTTACCTTTTAGCTCATATTTTTATTCGAGTATTCGAACTTTTTAGAAGCAACGAGTCACGACACTTGTATTCAAATGAGATCTTCAAACGAGATACTAGATCTTTAGAATTGAGACCTTTAATAATACTTTCAAATGGCACATGATATCATTATGAATGGTGCATATGAATTAATTTTTTTTTTCATGACTACATTATAAGTATAAAGAATAATGATAATCTGATAATTATGATTGACTAATTTTTTTAGAAAGAAAAAATATTATTAAAAGTATTTATGAATATGTTATATTTATTAAGAATTTATTTATTTATTTGTTGTGGTATAGTGTGATATAATAAACTAACATAGTGTTATTTTCAATAAAAAGTTTATATTTACTCAAAAGAGTTAGATTATTATGTCTTCTATGGAATTTATTTTTCTTTTTAATTTTAGACATGAATGAAATGAGGCATTATATGATGGTTAGTAGAAGAAAATTGAAAACAAATTGATGAGTCCCTAGTTGTCTCGGAGACGGAAGAGGTTATCCTTAGGAGGATCACTAGAAGCATGACTAAAAGGGAGACTTCCTCCTCTCCCTTCATTTTAATTTACTAAGTATTTTCTTTTCCTATGTTTTTTACTTATTTTTGTTTTCTTTTTGTAGGCTCATTTTGTGCACCTCCTTTTTGAAGAATATCACCTCTTTTTGTTGGAAAAGAGGACTTGGATAAATATGATACATGTGTCGATAGCCCAAAGGTGTAAGACACTCATTTTTCATGTCCTACACCCTTTTTTGAAGAAGAAGAAACTTAGCTTGCAGGTATGATTGGCTTGGGACAACCCAAAAGGAAGCACACATCTTTTTTCTTGTTCTCCACAACTTTAGAGATATTTTTGGTGGGCTAGGACGAATTTAACATATTTGGACCATGGTGACTCTAGCCTTTAGGTTTAGATTAAGTTTATGTCTCCTTTTGTAATTCCATCTAGTTCCCTCTCCCAAAAGCCTATAAATAGAAGACTTCCCCTCATGTAATTAGGTTGAATATTTATGAAAAGTTTGTGAGGTTTCTTAGAGTGTTCCATCTCTTTGAGTGTCTTATCTTGAACCTTGGTTCAAGTGGCGAAAACCACCACTTATCTAGGGTGGCTCATCCCCTAGTGGCGTGCCAACACTCCACCACCACCATACTTCTCTTCTCTTCATCTTTTCTTCTTTATTTCTTCACTTCATTGATTTATCCATGGGGCTGGTTCATTTTTCCAGCCCTTGTCTTTATTCTTTTATAGTTTCATTCCATATCTTCCTCCTTCCATAATCCTTAGAAATGAACATTTACATCTAGATAAAAAATTATCTTAATATCGAGTGGAAATTTTTATTGGGTTTGTTTACTTTATTGCTTACAATTCTACAACTTATCTTCTTAAAACTTTTCACCTTAATTTATTTTACATCACAAATCTTTTTAAAGAGGGAGGAAATGTAAGATATCAAACTAGTCAATGTACAATGGACCAATTATTTATAAGTGAGGAAGATTGTGGGTCCAATATAACATAAAAAATCCAGAGTAAAAAGATAAGAGGTATTCATGGGCTAGAGTTTAATTAGCCATTGGGTTAGATAATAGGTTTTAATTTTCATTTTTATTTTGTGATAATACATTAAGATGACTTTTCATATTTCTTAGGTACGTTTCTAGTGTATTTAATCTTCCTAAGTTATTATAATTATATGATGATTAGTGGGAAGTAAATGCATAGTGATCTTTTAGTGGAAATTTTTGTTTTTGTCATAATCTTCTTTGTGATAGTTTCTCCTTAGTTCTTGGGTTAAATAATTAGAACTTCAATAACAAACAATACACTACTTCGCTAATTTTATAAATTCCTATGTCTACCCATTGCAATTTTTTATTTTATTTTCAGGGGTGTAATAAATAATTTAAGAAATAATTAAAATTTTCAAAATATATTTTAAAAAAAAGTTGCATATAAGGAAGAAATATTTAGTTTGTTTTAGATGAAATAATAAATATTTAGTGTAAATAACATAAAAAAAAGATAATTCTTTTCATATATGATAATTACAATGAAAAAAATACTAGTGTTTCTTACAATTTAGCAATTTTATTTGCATATTTGATTTCCCACACAATATCAACAATTAGTTTCACTTGTCGATTGTGGAAAACCAAATTATAACTATTATAAATAAAGGTGGAGAGAAGGGGTGGCATGGTGGGTCATGGCCACCCCAAACTTTAGTAATTTTTCTGAGTATTATGAATAAAAAAATTATTGGCCCCAACCCAATGATGTACTATCTCAACATATGTTAACTTCTCTTTATTATATACTATTGAGTTAGTTTCGTCAAATACAAAACAACTCAATTTCTTAATTTTTTTATTAAAAAAATAAATAAAATACTCACATTGTTTGATAAATTTGTTATTTTCTCTCTATTCAAAATAAAGAACACTTGTTTTGTTTCCTATTCAGACTAAAAAAATTTAATCTCTCACATTTCAAAACTCAACCATTACAAGAAGGAACAAAAATCTTCTTCGTTTGGCCCCATGAAAATAAATTCCTGCCTCCGCCCCTGATTATAACTAAAAGGAATTAGCATTAATAATTACCAAATTAGTGACTCCAAATAATATTTGATTTCATAATATTTCCATAACTTAATGGTGACAAATATCCTTAAAACCATATCAACATTGAGATATTAATACAGAATACGCCACTATCTATTACCGAAGTGTAAATACAATAATGTTGTAAGAAAAAAATGTAATAAGTTTTAAGAAAAGTTTAATGTACCAAAAAATTATTCGAACATGAAAAGAAACCCTTATATAATAATTAATATTCATATTTTATAGAAAAGAGGAAATTCTTATTTTTCTAGAAAAGAGGAAGTTCTTTCTATGTGATTCATTTTTTTAACTTGGCTGGAACATTTAATATCTTACTTTAGTGTTGACATTTTATACCAAAATTAAAATAAATATCAAGCGGGGATAGCTCAGTTGGGAGAGCGTTAGACTGAAGATCTGAAGGTCACGTGATGTCATCAAACGTTAACTTAGATCGAATTCTCGAGGAGCATTGACAATTATGTTATAAAATTTGATATTCAAGTTTTTGGTATGAAAACAATACATTAGAGCAAGGAAACCTATGATGAAATGCAAAAACTGTAAGCTAAACCTAAGAAAGCAACTATACTTGTATAGAAATAAAATGACATGAAATGTAAACCAAATGCAATAAACTTATACTAATGAAAGTTGTAGTCAAAGCATTTAGGTGCAAAGAATAGTAAATGAAAGCATTTACATCAAACATCAAATAAAATCTAATTTAAAGCATTTAAAGTTGGAAACATTACAAGGAAACATTGAATCTAAAACCACAAGATATAGATCCATAAAAGTTTTAAACTTTTACAATCCAATTGATTAGATCAAATTAATCCATTGCATTCAAATGATCTAAAGGCACCATTAAAATTCCAAGTCAAATAATCACTTAAACTTAGAAATTGACTCTTAATGCAAATTGAGGATTTCAACCAAACAATATCAATTACATTATTGTAATACATTATAAATAAATAGAATTATGAAGAATCAAATCTAAGCCATAAAAAACAAGTTTCAATAGCTTAATCAACCTTAAAGAAAATTAAAAATGCATTACAACAAGTATAAGTACATAAATACAAAAAATTAAATGGAAGAGATATAGAAGAGAAAATAAATATGATCTAAAGCATCTTGAATTGATAAGCTTCAAGGAATAATTCATACAAGTGCCACAAAATTCAGAAATGAAAAGCTAACCAAGAACAAGCATAGAAGAGAGAGAAAAATTAAAGAGAAAACTTGATACTAGCTCTAGACTGAAAATGGAAGATAACTTTGTGTTAGCTTGTGTCTTTTTGTTCTTCCAAGCCTTTATATAAAACACAAACAAAATTGAATCTTCATACAAATAAATCAATTACATAAATTAGAACTTAATAACCATCATGCAAAAATGGATTTTGTGACATTTTTGCTCAACGAATCTTTCCTTCGCTCGGTGAGATTGCAATTAAGTTAGTTTGTTAGAATAAGATTTTGCTTAGTGGAATCTTCTCTTGCTCAACAAAATGGAAAATCTAGAATGAGCTCTCTGATAGTAATTTGCTGAGCAAAATTCATCTGCACTGAGCGAATCTCTTAAGTCAAAACTTCTTTCTTTCATTAATTTATCATTCTTATATCATTGTATAATTAAATAGTTAAAATGCACAATTTAAACAATAGATTAGATACCAAATTATTTATTTCCATTTTATTAAAACTATGTTGATGATAAATATTTCAATAATTTAATTATATTATTTATATCATAAATATTTTGATAAAATGTATTCATCAAGATATGTGAACATCTTGATGAATACATTTTATCAATATATTTATCAAGCGAGTCTAATTCTTTTTTATTACATTTTTCCATTTTGTCCTGTTTTTGTCGACAATCATTAATGCACATTGGTTTTATGATTCTCAACATCATTAATAATATTTAGCACTATATTAATTATGGATTTCTTTTAGAACAACTATATTATTTATTAGAGGAATCTTTTGAAGTTTTCATCCTCAATTGACTCATCTTGCCTTTTAGCTTATTTTTCTTATTTGAAAATTTTACCTTTTTGAATCTTTTGGAGTTTTTATCCTCTATTACTTCATCTTGCCTTTTAGCTCATATTTTTATTCTTTTAGAAGCAACAAGTCACCACACTTGTATCTTCAAATGAGATACCAGATCTTTAGAATTGAGACCTTTAAGAATATTCTCAAATGGCACATGATATCATTATGAATGGTGCATATGAATTTTGTTTTCATGATTATATTATGAGTATAAGAATAATGATAATATGATAATTATGATTGACTAATTTTTTTAGAAAGAAAAAATATTATTAGAAGAATTTATGAATACGTTATATTTATTAAGAATTTATTTATTTATTGTGGTATAATGTGATATAATAAACTAACATAGTGCTATTTTCAATAAAAAAAATTTATATTTACTCAAAAGAGTTAGATTATTATGTCTTCTATGGAATTTATTTTTCTTTTTAATTTTAGAAATGAATGAAACGAGGCATTATATGATGGTTAGTAGAATAAAATTGAAGACAAATCTTTTTAAAGAGGGAGGAAATGTAAGATATCAAATTAGTCAATGTACAATAGACCAATTATTTATAAATATGATTGTAGACCTCAAATCTTGCCCGGCCTCATAATAAAGACCAGAAGACCTCCTTTTCGAAGATGGATGAAGCCTAAAAAGCCACTAGGAGAAACTATTAGGCCCCATACTAGGATAGGAGAGATTTTTGGCACCAAAATAAGGATTTTCGCCTTTTTAGGTCGAGACCGCCGTCCCAAATTCGGGACCGCCGTCTCGCCACTCACGGATGGCGAGACGGCCGTCCCGAATTCCCAGGCGGCCGTCTCGACCTTGTCAGACGAGATGGCTGTCTCGACCTGACAGGCGCGAATCCCTATAAATATGGGGTCCTATTCCCCTCATTTCACAGAAAAACACAATCTCTCCTCCTTCTCTCTAGATTTTCTCTCTCTAGAATCCCTTTGAAGCATTTCCGAAGTTTCTGAGCGTTTCTTAGAGTGTTCTTGAGCGTTTGAGAGATTTCTAACACTGTGTAGAGTGAAGGGCTGCCAAAACGCACCCAATTTACCAAGAAATAAATAGAAAAGCTTGCTGCGAAGGTTTTCACTCTCTCCTTCACCTTTTTACCGCTTTATTTAAATTATGCAATAGATAGGACCATGTAGTCATAAACTTTAAATTCTGCAAATAAAAGGGTAAAAGCACATTTTTCACCAGTTTAATTATTTCTTAATAGTTGGCCTGTCATAGGGAACCCGAAAGGGGCGTCGTAAAGGGACTAATACTCCATTTACACGTAACTAACTCCCTTACCCAACTCTGGTTCTAATAACCAAAGTTGGTTTTTTTTGAAAACCAACGCCTTTTTATTCCTTTTGCGATGTTTCCGGTAAAAACATTGGTGGCGACTCCAGAACCCTTTTAAAACTAGCTCTTGGATTAGCCCGGTTATCGGACAATCCAAGAGCACCTTTCGAAAACCTCGCCTCTAGGTTCAGCCCGGTTATCGGACAACCTAAAGGCGTTGTAACCACCTAAATATAAAAACGCGAAAAGTCAAAACCGTCGCGTCGCTCCGACCGCCTCGTTTTGACGGCGGCGACAATGATGGTTAGTAGAAGAAAATTGAAGACAAATCTTTTTAAAGAGGGAGGAAATGTAAGATATCAAACTAGTCAATGTACAATTGACTAATTATTTATAAGTGAGGAAGATTGTGGGTCCAATATAGCATAAAAAACCAGAGTCAAAAGATAAGAGATGTTCATGGGGTTAGATAATAGCTTTTAATTTTCACTTTTTATTTGGTGATAATACATTTAGATGACTTTTCATATTTCTTAGGTACGTTTTTAGTGTATTTAATCTACCTAAGTCGTTATAATGAACCATTATATGATGATTAGTGAGAAATAAATGCATAGCGATCTTTTAGTGGAAATTTTTTTCTTTGTCATAGTTTCTACTTATTTCTTGGGTTAAACAATTAGAATTTCGATAACAAACAAAATACTACTTCGCTAGTTTTATAAATTCCTATGTCTATCCATTGCAATTATTTTATTTTATTTTTGGGGTGTAATAAATAATTTAAGAAATACTTAAAATTTTCAAAATATATTTTTAAAAAAATTACATATAAGGGAGAAATATTTAGTTTGTTTACGATGAAATAATAAATATTTAGTGTATTAAATAACATAAAAAAAGGTTTTTCTTTTCATGTATGATAATTACAATGATATAATATTAGTTTTTCTCACAACTTAGCAATTTTATTTCAATATTTGATTTAGTTTCACTTGTCAATTGTGGAAAATTAAATTGTAACTATTATAACTAAAGGAATTAGCATTAGTAATTATCAAATTAGTGACTCTAAATAATATTTGATTTCCCAATATTTCCATAACTTAATGGTGACAAATATCCTTAAAATCATATCAACATTGAGATGTTGAGATATTATTACAGAATACGTCACTGTTGATTATCGAAGTGTAAATACAATAATGTTATAAGAAAAAAATGTAATAAGTTTTAAGAAAAGTTTGTAATGCACCAAAAAAATCATTAGAACATGAAAAGAAACCCTTATATAATAATTAATATTCATATTTTATAGAAAAGAGGAAATTCTTATTTTTCTAGAAAAGAGGAAGTTCTTTCTATGTGATTAATTTTCTTAACTTGGCTGGAACATTTAATATCTTACTTTAGTGTTGACATTTTATACCAAAATTAAAATAAATATAAAGTGGGGATATCTCAGTTGGGAGAGCATCGGATCGAAGATCATGTGTTCAATCCACTTGTTTTAAAATTTGACTTTCACTTATGAAGAGCTGGGAGTAGGGGGCATGTTCAAGTTCTTGGTATGAAAACAATACATTAGAGCAAGGAAACCTATGATCAAATGCAAAAACTGTAAGCTAAACCTAAGAAAGCAACTATACTTGTATAGAAATAAAATGACATGAAATATAAACCAAATGCAATAAACTTATTCTAATCAAAACAATAGTCAAAGCATTTAAGTGCAAATAATAGTAAATGAAAGCATTTACACCAAACATAAAATAAAATCTAATTTTATGAAAGCATTTAAAGTTGGAAACATTACAGGAAACATTGAATCTTAAACCACAAGATATATAAATCCATAAAAGTTTTAAAATTTCACAATCCAATTGATTAGATCAAATTAATCCATTGCATTCAAATGATAGTAACTCACTTGAGCAAAATTCATCTGCGCTGACTGAATCTCATAAGTCAAAACTTCTTTCTTTCTTTAATTTATCATTCCTGTATCATGTTATCTCTATTAAGAGGTTCTTGTGGGACTTTAATATTATCTTCACTAAGTGGTTCATGTGAGAGGTCAACATTATTTCCAGTAAGAGATTCATGTAGAGCTTCAATGTCAGTACAAGATTCTTGTGATGATTCTCTAATATTAATTTCTTTTTCATCTCTAAAAGGGTGAAGATATAAAATTGTATCACTTATATCTATAGAGTTTGAGTTTTATACTCTAGAGTCTGGATTTTATAAATTTCTTATTAGTTCCTTTCTTGAAAATCAAAATCAAAAGAAAAATACATATTTATCTTCATGAAAAACCACATTCGTTGTTATATAAACATAGGATGGAGAGGAGGATGATAACACCTATATATATTTTTTTATGTATAACATAATCAATTGATTATTTGTTTTGATATCTTTAAGAACACAAGAATCGGGACACAAATTTATTACACAAGATAAATCAGTTGTTATTTATAAAAGATTAAAATTTAAAAAAGAACAATAAAGACATAATCAATATTTAAAGTACTATTAAGATTTTAAAAAAATTCCAAATAAATTGGTGACCATTCTAGGATCAAATATTATATAATTTGTAGTTTCAAGTATTAATAATTCATATAACATTCAAAATATTAACTTAACAAACTTACTAGGATTATTCATAATTACTTCTAATGTAAATACTTTTTAATTTTATTTGATAGTAAATACCTCATTTCTCAATTCTCACATTTGTATCTTATTTTTGTTATTGTAACATGTTTTTGAATTAATATTGAAAACTTCTTAAGTTTAAACAATAGAAGAAACCAATTTTCTTTTTCTCCATTTAAAAGTTTAAAAAATTCACAATCTAAAAAATCCTCACTATTATCTTAAAAACTATAAACTGAAATATATTTATTATTTAATATAAAATAAAATATATACAACCTATTTATAAGATACAAGTACATGTACTTAATTAAGTTATTAAAAAAGTTAAATTTATAGTTATACCAAATCCTAATCAAATTATATATAATTTGTACTAAATTTCAATGTTATCTATAAACAAGACTTGTCCCTTTTAAAAAATGAAACAAGTCTTTTACAAACTCAATAGAAAAACAACCGTATAAGGGTCAATAAAAGTATATGGCTTTTCAACCACAGTGAAGGGAAGAAGTACTTATGAAATGAATTTTTAATCGTTACCCTCCACAGGCTCAATCACGACAGGGACAGGAAGAATGTTGGTAGAAGTTGTAGTATAAATGGAAGCCATTGTGAGATTACGCACAAGAGGGAGAAAGAAAGGTTATAAAGAAGTAAGATAAGAGGAAAAAGAAAGAGTGGCAACATCTCCAAAAAAAAGTTTTTAATGGTTAAGAAAAAAATTGAATATTTTATTAAAAGTTTCACAGATCTTTAAAATATGGTTATAATTGTTTATTAAAAAACTTTTTTTCAATTTAAAATAATTTTCTTTATTTTTAAACAATTCAAATATGAGATTCACAGTAAAATATTTAATTTTATTTCTAAATAATTCTTAATAACAACTCTCATTGAAGATGTCAAATGATAAAAGAGGGAAAAAAATCGACTGTTTAAATTCTTAAAAAAAAAAGATAAAATGCAAAAAAAATAATCAAAATCTCATCTAACAAGGGTGCAAAAAGTAATAAAAATCCCTTGATATCAGAGTAATTCATCCATCGTTGCATTTAAGTATGTGAATTGTGAAGTGATCATGATAATTAATATTTCTGTAACGATAACTTGTTTAAACCACATTCGTTTTTCATTATTTTAAATAAAATTACTTATTACAAATAAAAAATATAACAAATAATTTGAACTTAAACAAATTATATATGAATCTCATTAAATAAAATGCGAATTTAAATTATTTCATTAGGGAGTTTAATCATTAGTCTGTGAAATATGAAAAACCTTTTCATATGATTCTCCTTTACTAGAATAATTATCTTTAGCAGAAAAGAAACGATTCTTAGTTTGACTTTTCATAATTTAATTATTTTTTGGTCGGAGGCAAGTTTGGTAATGAGAATTTGAATTTATGTAAAAACACTATATTTCATGTCATCAAGAAAGTAAGGATAAATAATAAATACATATTCAAAATCAAATACATTAATTTACTCCAGATTAATTATAAAGTGAGGAGAAGTAAGCATTTTTTTTTAAATAAAAAAAATGTAATAAGTAAAGCAAAAAATGGAGGACAACATTAGTGTATTTTTTTTTTTAATAAAATACATTAATTTACTCGAGATTAATTAATTATGCCGAAAGAGGTTTTTTATATCAATTTAACGTGCGTTTTATATATATATATATATATATATATATATATATATATATATATATATATATATATAATATTGTCTATTAAATGCACAAGATAAAATGTTGTTATGTAAAAGTATTTATCCTGAAATTTTAGTATGTATCAAATAAACCCTTATATTTCACGCAAATCATTTAAACCCTTCCAACTATTATTTTAAACTATATTAGACAATTAATCCCCTTGTTTAAATGCCCTGAACAAATTGAAGAAAGCAATAATAATTGAGTAAAGAATACAATGGCTATGGAGTGATGATGTCTATTGATGTTATCCACTTCATTACCTTTACAAATGTTTGCGTCAGGTCCTCAAGTCAAGTGCATTCATATATAGGATTTTGACCTCTCTCTTTCTCAATCCAACTCCTCCATGACATGGTATACGTCCCAACTTTTCCATTTTACTCACTTCTTGATACTTCCAATATTGACATTCAACTAACCCCTTGTTGGATATGCCAATTAAGCATTATGGCACTTTTGTTTTGTATATTCATAATGCATCTCATCCCTTTGTAAAGCTTCTTATACAAAAAGTAGAGGAATGAAGTCCTTCACCACACTTTAAAAGCTCCCTTAGCCATCCCAAAAAATAATCATATCCTAAAGCATCATTGGCTTCAAAACTCAGAGAGAGAGAGAAAGCTAAAGGGTAGTAGGCTTAGTTTCCCCTCTTGTTCAGTTGGGAGAATGCATACCCTTTGGAAACCAGTGCACGTTGTTGTGGCTTCATTTTATGTTTCTGTTTCTGTTCTTCTATTCAGTGACTGCGTGGCCTATGAGGAGGAGAATCACTCTAGTAGTCATAAGAAAACAATTAACAAATTTTACAAGGTAATACCTATATTTTTGTAGTTTCATTTATAATTTTCTTTCATGTACATCTGCTTCTTCTTCACCAATGCCTCTTATTTAAGCAGTTAGCAAAGATAACTACCAATCATTTTCTCTCCTTGTTTTTCTTATGCAAGAAAGTAACTAAATATTTGATTATCACAAATTAAGGACTGGTAAACATGATTTGTATGGTTAACAAACCTTTTAATACATCAGGTAAATCAGCAGAAGACATCTGATATTGCAGTACATGGATTACTGCTGTGGGCTTCAACCGGATTATTAATGCCACTAGGAATACTTATCATTAGAGGTTCCACTAAGGCAGAACCTGGATCTAGAAGGAGTAAAGTGCTCTTCTATCTCCATGTTGGTTTTCAGGTCATATCTCTTCTATTTGTTCCAGTAAAAGTTATTTATACTTAAGCATGCACATTATATACATGTAGGGAAAGTATAGTAGCATGAGTGGAGCTAACTAATCTTGACCCTTCTACCATATATAACTAGTCAAGATTGGTTTTACTCATATCAAATCTTAACCATAAGATTGATTTGATATTACTTCTCTCACCTCTCACGTTATTACTTAAACTGTTAATTCTAAAAGTATAAGTTTGTTAATACTCACATCTAGCCAATGGATACTGACATTCATTATGCTGAAACCGTTGATTATGTTGTAGAAACTTAAAAAGTAGGAGTAGTGGTATTATACGTAAGTAGATTCTAGAGTACAAAATGTTTCTTGAAAGTTACATCATGTCATCATTAAGTTTTGATCTTTGTTTTAACAGTAATCATAACTTGCTTTAACTTTAGTAGTGGAGTGTACATAGCTTTCTTTTATGATCCATTTTCTATTCCACCACAGTTTTATATTGCTTTTGATTAACCACTATGTCATGATTATCATTTGAATTGAACTAATTGGGAGTTATTATACATTTAAAGTCGCAGTAAGTTTTTTGTTTTTATGAAAGTTGTATATACCTATGACTTATTGCCTTTCTACCTTAGTGCCCACAATGTTTTTTCTTATGATTTCTCTTCCTTTCAGACCACAGGTTTTTTTTATTGCTTTTGTTCCTTTAAATTAACAATATTATGATCATCAACAAACTAAACTAATTAGCAATTAATTAAAATTAACTGTGAATTTCTGTTCTAATTTGGATGCAGTATATATACATACAATTTTTTGCCTTTATATCTTCATTGTGCACAGTCTAACATTTCATCTAACAGATGCTTTCAGTACTTCTTGCCACAGTTGGAGCTGCTATGTCCCTGAAAAAGTTTGAAAATTCATTTGATAACAACCATCAAAAATTAGGCCTGGCACTTTATGGTGCTATATTGGTGCAAGGCTTGATTGGATTTTTCAGACCACACAGGTTTGTTCATAAAATTTTTCACCAGTTTTAAAATAGCTGATCAGCTCATTAATCCAATCAACAAAGTTTTGTCTAGTATAGTAGCACCCATTTTCTATGTATTTGTGAAAGCAGTTTAATATTCAAAGTATGTTTTATATTGTTGTAATGGGTTAATGCTATATAATTTCTGATTGAGTTTGCAGGGGAAAGAAAGAGAGGAGTTATTGGTACTTACTACATTGGATACTAGGGACAGTAGTTTCACTTGTGGGGATCATCAACATATACACCGGTTTGAAAGCCTACCATAAGAGAACCTTAAAAAGCACAACACTTTGGACTATCCTTTTCACTGTGGAAGTCTCTTTCATTGGACTAGTTTACCTCTTCCAAGACAAATTGGAATATATGAAAAAGCAAGGAGTGATTATAGGAAGTGAGTCGTCAATTCTGTCATCTAATCAAGACATTCCTCAAAGCCAAACTCAAAAGGAGTTGTTACCAGTTGCATGTGGAAGAAAGAGAAATGCACTTGAGAATTTGTTTGACTAATGTGAAACTCTCTCTTTAGCTTACACTTTTTAGAGGTATTGGCTTGTTTTCACTTTAGTTTTTGGTGCCTGCACTTTATGCAAGTGGGAGGTGATTTTATGAAGATAGAGTGCATTCATCAAAAGGTGAAGTTTGATTGGTGTATGTTATCTCTTTTCTTATTTTTCTATGCACATTCTTTCACATGTATTACGAATATTATAAGTGTGCGTGTGGACACACTGACCACAGAATGTATAGACAATTGTGGAAGCAGTATGTGAACTTATAATTTTTATTTGAATACGATTTTTGGAATTCATGATTAGCAGCAAATCTTTATAATATTTTCGTAAGATTTTGCAACACACAAATATTGAGTGGCATATCTTAAGGGTGACAGAACCACAATACTTCAAACGAAAGCCTATGGTGGTGGTGTTCATCTAATTTCTTCGCTTATTCACGAGTTAGCAATCATGAATGCTTTCAACTCAAGCACCAGTGCTTAAATTGATTAGCATAATCCACAGTTTTTTTTAGTTTGTTAGACAAGTTTCGTATTAAATATTCTTACAAAAATGTAATAAGTTTTATGAAAAGTTTGTAAATGCATCATAAAACTATTGTAATATGAAGTTATTTGAAAATAAACATATTATTAAATATTATACAAAGAATTAAGTTAATTAATAAGTAGGGATAGTTCAGTTGGGAAAGCGTTAGACGGAAGTTATGAAGGTCACGTATTCGATTAACGTTCATCGCATTTAATTGACTTCTTTTTTGGTAAATGAAATATAAAATTATAAACTTGACTTCTTTTTTGGTAAATGAAGTACAAAATTATAAACTTGTTTTTACGGTGGTGATATAATACATAATATCTCTTAATAAAACTTGGTATGATCAATTAATTTTTTATAACTAATTTATGAGATTCATAAATTATCAAAAATATGATAATTATGATAGATTAAAATTTAATTGGTATGAAAATTACATATTTATTAAGAATTTTAATTTATTGTCATATTAAACGATTTAGTAAAAATAACATACTACATTTTTTTAATAAATTTTTATATTTAATCAAAAAATCTTACATTTTTTTTTCTGAACCTCACTAAGAATAACTCAATTTATAGAAAATCTAATATTTTATCCAAATCATGTTTTTCCTTAAGGTGGATGGATGTACAAACGCATAATTGAAAAAAAAAATGTTACAATAGAAATCCAAGTAGTCAAAATCAATATTTACATGTAAGATTTTAAGTCCAATATAACATTAAAAACTTAAACTTAATGATTAATGAGATTTAATGAATCATTATATGATGGTTAGTGAGAAGTAAATATTTAATAAAGTCTTGGTGAAAATTTGTTTTCTGTTGGTGACTAAATTTTACCTCTAAATAAAAACCTCTTTTATTCTAATTATAACGCAAATATCAATCATATTTAGTATTTTATTATCACCAGAGCTTTCTCATCGTTATTGCATTAAAAACTTTATAGTGGATTTTATCAATAAGATTTTTACTATATGTTCCTTCTTTACCTTTAATCCAAAAAAGAAAAAAACTATCATTATTGATAAAGTCTATTCATATTCCTTTGTTATAATGTATCATATTTGTTAAGTTTGATCATATTTAATTCTCTCTTCCTTCTATTGTGTTTTTTCATCATACTATAAAATAAAAAGAGGAGAAATTTTCATTTTGAAAAAGAAAAAGAGAAAAAAAAGAGAAAAGAAAAAAATGCATACTAAAAAATTTTAAAAATTGGAATTTTTATATTCTCTTATTAAAAAAATGTCAATTGATATTAAGTTTTATTGACAAAATTATAAATTCTAGTCATATTTTATTTATTGTTCCCACTGTACCTTCCTTGATTTTGACTTTTTTTTTTTTTTTCAAAAAAGAAATATATTCCCTTTGTTTCACTCAATAAAGTTATTTAGTTATGTAGAATCATCCTTAAAAATTATTTTTTAAGAGCTCATAAGGTAAAATTAATTTTTTAAAAGGAAATAGTGTTAAGATAATTAAAGGCCAATTTAAGGAAAATATGAGTGTGTAAAATATTATTTGAGTGTAAACTTGTGAGACAGTGATAATGTAGGGTAAACATGTGAGAGAGTGATAGTGTGAGGATTGTTTTTAAATTTACTTTGCATCACTAGTTAATCATGAGTGGAGAAGGAGAAGGAGATGCATAACTCAAATTGTTTTCAAGGGATGTTCATGATCAATTCAAGGTTTTAGATGCAAGACTGATTTACAATCTAATCTCAAATCTAGGACCTCTCTACAAGAAATCACAAGAAATCACAATGATGACAAAAATATTACTCAGAAGGGAGATATAGTAAAAGGAGAAGAATAATCATAAATATAGAAGTGACAATTACTTGGCAATATTAAGATGAATATTCTACCATTCCAAGGGAAAAAACAATTATGAATTGTACTAGAAATGAGAGAAAAATTGAACATATACTTAACTGTCATGATTATTCAAAGAAGAAAAAGATAAAATTAAATGTTGTTGAGTTACTATCATAGGGTCTCACATAGGAAATTGTAAAATTTAACTCAAACTTTTGTGAGTGTGGAACATTAGTAGAAGAAGATGGAGATCATCGTGGTTAGAGCTAAAGTTAAGAAAGACTAAGAGGCAATTATTTTTATTAGAGATTTAAAAAGGAAAATAATATGATAGAGTTAGTGCATGATCTAGTAAAATGAGAAATAATGATACTGGTAAATAAAACAATTAAGGTGAAAAGACAATTGAAGTCAAACAACCATTTTTTTTTATATCGTATTATTTACATCAGTTATATGATAATTGATTTAAATGTAAATGTAGTGACATTTTTGTTATTGACGAGATTTCTACATCGATTATTAATAAAAAATATAACCAATGTAGTATTTTCTCAAATAAAAGTGGTTCTTTTTAGAATCAATGTAGTATTACTTTGATCCTAAAAGGAACCAATGTTATATGTGGAGATATTACATTAGTTGTATTAAAAACCAATGTAGAAAGTCATTTACATATTATCACTTCGTGTATTCTCATTTTCTCATTGTTGCCTTAAAAATTCTTCTCTTTGTTTTGTCGTTATCGTCATTACATTATCTCAAACCACCTCCTCCTCTACAAAGATCCTCTTATCTAAAGTTTCTTCTTTCTAAAACTCTTCTTCTCCAAAACTCACCATCTTTGAAATTTTTTCTTTTCAAATCTCATCATATCTAAAGATAGTTTAACCACTATAATGGAACAAAGTTATTAAGTAATTATCCAATTTTTAGCAGCCATCATAACACGAAAATAAATCTAAATGAAACTCTTCTCAACTATCTAGGACATTACCATTATTTCTCCATGTTATTATCACATCGTGTCTCTATTGTTGTCATCGTTCAAAGTATGTATAACACTTATATTTCTTTTACTCATTATATGATAAATTTTATTAAAAATGGATAAAAAGTTGTTATATATTGGTATTAATATTGTTTTATTCTATTGTGTGGAAAAGTATAAAAAACAAATAATTCTTCACCAATGACTATGTGTGAAAATGTTCACATTTACATGTGTGATGCATATTATTATTATTATTGTTGTTGTTGTTATTGTTGTTGTTATTATTATTATTATTATTATTAAACGGACATATAACATCCACTACTACAAAATATACTTTCTACGTCGTTATAGCTGAGACGACGTAGAAAGTACTTTTTTTATTTTATTTTTTTACTTATTGACACTTTCCACGTCGGTTCAGGGAACAACCGACGTGGAAAGTCTTTTTTTATTATTTTTTTCAACCAAAAACTCATTTAAATTGTCATCGGTAAGATTCGAACCCAGTATTTTAGAGTTGGAAACTGATACTCCAACCACTAAACTACTAGAATTTTTTGATAATAATTTACAAATAAATTATATTTATATACAAATAAATATATATCCATGTAAATATATATTTATTTGTATATATTTTCTAGAAAGTATTTTTTTTTCAGCCAAAAATTCTCTTAAGTTAATGAATTGTCATCGATAGCATTTGAACTTAGTATTTTAGGGTTGAAAGTTAATATCTCAACCACTAAACTACTATAATTTTTTGATAATAACTTACAAATAAATTATATTGGTATTTTTCGATCGAGGGTGAAAGTGTGATTGACTCTTGCTTGAGTGAAAATATGTTAAAGCTCACGGAAATTCACTCACTCAAGTCTCGCTTGAGCGAAAATTGGTATTTTTCGCTTGAGAGCAAATAACGCGTTTCCCAAATTTATTTTATATCATTATATAAATAAAATTATAAAGATTATATTCTGTCATTAAATTACAAACTCATATAAAGATACCTGCTCACAAATTTAGCATCAAATTTTGAAAACCCACTCGACACACACTTTCACTTTCGAGTGTGCCCTCACATCCAACATATAAATATATAACTATATAAATATATCAAAATATATAAATATATTTGTATTTATATATTTACACAGATATATATTTATTTGTATATAAATATAATTTATTTGTGAGTTATTATCGGAAAATTCAAGTAGTTTAGTGGTTGGAGTATCAGCCTCCAACTCTAAAGTATCGAGTTTGAATCCTGCCAATGACAATTCTCTTAAAAATTAAAAAACTTCTAAAAAATATAATATAAAGAGATGGAGGACCTAATAAAAATATAATATAAAGAGAGGGGAGACTTCTAGATAAATAAAAGGAGGTAAAGGGGTTGTAAATAAATAAAAATTATTAATTTAAAAAATCATACTTTCAACGTCGGTTCTAATAAACCGACGTTGAAAGTTACAATTTTCAACGTCGCTCGATACAACGTCGGTTGTTGAACCGACGTTGAAAGCCTTCCAGAACCGATGAGAACCGACGTTAAAAGCTTTATTTGTAGTAGTGATCGATTGGAAAAAGAATATATGCAATATTTCACTTTCTACATCGGTTATTAACGTAAACTACTACAATAATAGTATTTAATATTGGTTATACAAGGTATATAACATCGATTTTTGAACCATTGTTAAAGGAGACATCGTTAAAAGTTAAGAGAATTAACATCGATTATAAATAAACCGATGTTCAAAGTACGAACATTCAACATTAGTTCTTTTATAATCGATGTAGAAAGTTAATTTTTATTTTTTTTAAATGTTTGTTATTTTGTTACATTTCCCACCTGTAAATAATATTCAGTAAAAAAACAAACATAAAAATTGTCAAATAAAGATAAAATAATCCTAAATAATTATAAAATAATCTAAAATAATATATAATTTTAATAATTCACAAATAAATATTTAAATAACAATTACAATCAGATGACAATACAAAGGATGATAGCGAGATTATGATGGAGGATGAGACTACAACAAAGCATAAAATAATGATGGTTAATGACAACATAAGAGAGGACGACAAAGGGTGAATATGTGGCAAATAGCGAGCATGTGAGTGTGACGGATGATGCAAGGAAAGGCGAAAGGACATAATGGAGAATGTGACAGAGGACACGATGTAGGTCACGAGGACGTGATAGAGGACATGGTGGATGATGCAATAAGGGCCACGAGGACATGATGAAGGGTGTAAGGACACGATAGAGGACGTGATAGAGGTCATGAGGACAAGGCAAAAGGCACTGAGGAGATGTGATGGAGGTTGCGATAAGCGAGGCAAAGGACATGAGGATGTAATGGAGTTTGTCGATGGAGACATGGTGGGGGGTGACATGGAAATGCGGTAGAAGGCACGATGGAGGGCATGATGAAAGTTGAAGTGCGATGGAGGTTGAAGGTGTGACAGAGGGCGAGGAGGAAAAAGAAGAAGAATTGTTTCATAGATGGGGATAAGTGTTTAACATAGTTATAAATGACTTTTTACATTAGTTACAATAGAATCGATGTTAAATGTGATTTTCAACATCGGTTACGATACAACTGATGTAGAAAACTTATACCGAATTACAAATTTTCTACCACATCTTTTTCTACATTAATTCTTTTATAACTGATGTTAAATGATGTCATTAAAAATAATTTTTGTTGTAGTGATAGAAAATAACATATTACATCGATCCTTTTTACAACCAATATTATATGTCTACTTTTTACATTGGTTGTCAACTGATGTAAAATCTCTCACACTTTCTACATTAGTGACGTTTACATCAGTTCAATAACTTATGTAAAATACTCAAAATAACCGATGTTAAAATCCTATTTTTTAGTAGTGAAAGAGTCATTCCAAATTTACTTTACCTTCTACCTAAGTGGAAGAACAAGAAAACTAATGCAAAACCTAAAGAAGATGCAATGCTAAGAATTCAATTATTTATCATAAAGTTAAAACTGAAACTTATACATCTTCTAAATCAATAGAGTTTAATTAAGTATTAGGTTGGATAATAAATTCCAATTTTCATTCTTTATTTTGTGATAATATGTTCAAATGGCTTTTCATATTTCTTAGGTAAGTTTCTAGTGTATTTGAACTTCCTAAGTCATTATAATGAAACATTATATGATAATTAGTGGGAAGTAAATGCTTAGTGGTCTAGTAGTGGAAATTTTTGTTTTTATCTCAATGGGTGACCTAGCTCTTCCTATAAATAATAACCTCTTGTAAGTTTCTAAGCAAAATTAGCATTTTAATTCAAATGAGTGTTTTTTCGTTATGACAGTTTCTCCTTTGTCTTTGGGATAAACAATTAGAATTTCAATAACAAACAAAGTACTAATTCACTAATTTTATAAATTTCTCTAACTACCTATTGCAATTTATTTTTATTTTATTTTAGGAGCGTAATAAATAATTTCAAAAATACTTATAATCTTTTATTGCGTAAAAATTAAAATAAACATCAAGCGGGGATAGCTCAGTTGGGAGAGTGTTAGACTGAAGATCTAAAGGTCACGTGTTCGATCCACGTTCATCACATTGTATTATTGTAATTTTTCTCATTTGCACAACTAATAAAAAGTAAAATTAACTAATAAAATAACGAGAGAAACTTAAGTTGGGTATGGCTTAATCACCTTTTGAGAGGCTACCAAAACAATTTTGAATCTTGTTTTCTATATCATAATTTAGAGTTTATAAAATTTAGTATTTTAACTAGGTATAAAGGGAGTATGAATTTGTAAAATAACTATAAATAAATTGTTGGACATTCAAATCCGAAGATTTCACGTAGCAGTAAAGAGGGTTAATCAAGGAGTGTGGACCAATATCAAATTTAAAAAGACCATAATACAATATCCTATCACAACACTTTGCCATAGATAAATTGACTTATCATAAGTATGTAAAGACACTACACTCTGATGCTCAAGTTAGTAATGGACCAATATCAAATTTAAAAAGACCAGAATACAATATCCTATCACAACACTTTGTCATAGATAAATTGACTTATCATAAGTATGTAAAGACACTACACTCTGATGCTCAAGTTAGTAAGGGAAAGACAATAAGTAGTTCAGATGTGTTGTGTACAATAGCTGTCCTGGGAACCTTTCTATTTATACCACTTAAGTTGGGTTTTTACCTGATGGGCATTTGTCAAGGCCTTGTGTTTGACACTCTATGTTTTAATCCTTAATTATCCGGTAATTTCTCGTAAATGAAAGGGCTTAATCACCTCTTGAGAGAGTACCAGTACAATTTTGAATCTCATTTTATATAATGTAATTTAGAGTTTATAAAATTTAGGATTTTAACTAGGCATAAAGGGAGTATGAATTTGTAAAATAACTACAGATAAATTGCTGAACTTTCAAATCCAAAGATTTCGCATAACAACAGGGAGGGTCAATCGAGGACTATGGATCAATTTCAAATTTAAAAAGACAAGAATACAATATCCTATTATGGCACTTTGTCGTAGATAAATTGACTTATCATAAGTATGCATTATTTTGAAAAAAAAATCATAAATAAAAAATTTATTATATGAAGATATAAAAAAGAAAATACATTTATGAATGGAGTTGTACTTCTATATGTAAAAATATGAATGATAAATTATTGAATGGATGATAAATATTAAAAGATTGTTGTAGAGAAAATTTCATAAAAAAGTGTAAAAGATAGATTGGTTTGATGGAAAAGCTCTTGTATTATGAATGAATGTTATTCTCTTACCATGTTGTGTTTTTGTTATATTTATAGGCTTTTTTTTTTTACCATTAATGAAGGATGGCTATCAAATTAAAAAAACTTTTAGATTATTCTTTTACTTTCTTTATTCTATGACTTTTAATTACATATTCTACAAATTTAGTGAAAATCATAAATTTATCATAACATTTCTAGAACATTTTTTCTATTGCCACGATAAATTATAAAATTTGGAAACATGGCTCTTGGTAGTGCTTTTGTTAATCCATGTGCAACTTAACATTATGTTATGCATTTAGCATCTCTAGTGAAATAATATTTAATATTTACGTGTTTTGTTATTTGATGATAGATTGAACTATTTATTATTATTATTATTAACTTATTGTCAAATAAATAATAGTATATCCATTTTGTTTTTCTAAATTTCTTTAAGTATTCTTTGATGTCATATTGTTTAACACCCTTATACAATTAGTCACTGTTAAAAACAAATATTTGTAAACATAAACCAATTCTTTTCTTGATTCACCGTATGATTTATTAATTGTCATAGCATATGAAATACTTACTGAAAATTTCTTTCTAACAATTTAAAAGGCCATGGTTAGGTAGATAGAAGGAGACTCTCTTAGGAGCATAACCTACTAGGATTAGTTTCTTCTTTCTTAATCTTATATAAATTGTATAAGTGTATATGTTTCTTATATTTTTGTAGACGTTTGTAGAGGAACATGCAGGCTAGATTTAGGCCTCAATTGAGAAGTCTTAAACATGACAGAATTGAATCTTTAGGATAGTTTATGAAGCACGAGGGAGAAGTCAGTCTATCAATCCAAGACTTGGCTCTAGAGGTCACCATCCACACCATGATGATTGAATTTCATATGGGTTCTTTTTTTAGACAACTTATACATTAACAAACCTCGGGATATTAATTAATTGTGAGTTTGTGTATCTTCATATATACAGTTAGAAGAAAATATCTAGTTCCTTAAGTAAAAAGAAATACAAATATATCATGCTTTAATGGATAGAATGACATAAATTGGGTAATTGGAACAATCTACAATATGACACAAAATTTGGAAAACTTCAAGAAAAAAAAGTTTAGTTATTTTTGTGAAGTTGACTAGGAATGACATTCAAGTCCGAGAATACTAAAGTAGCCATCTTAGGAAACAAATGTTAAAAAGCAGAGTGTTAACTCTTCAAGATAAAAAGAAAACAATAAGGCAACACAAACAATTTGAAGAAGGAAGAAGATGAAAATCTTAACAACAAAAGGATGGACATTGAAGAGTGAAGATTGTTGATTATCTTTAAAAACATTAAAACAAAAGACCCAACAACAATTCACATTTAAAATCTAATGGTTATATAATAAAGACAAATGTGATGTTTATAAGACATATGACATTAACATAATGACTCAACTCAAAGTATTTGCTTACCTATATTATAAAATTAAAAACCAAGAAAATAGATTATAGTTATGATTTTCCGAGTATAGATATGATTTCTCAAATATAGTAGTGTTTTACATTTTACAAACTCCAGTATATTGTATAAGTATGATGAAGACTCATGTACCTACTCAAATCAAAATACTCAAAATATTTTATATTAGCCAATATTTTAACAAAAAGCTAGTTTAATATCTAATATATCTTTAAATCTTTTCTTTTATAAATGCTACACTTTGGACAACAGTACTAGTATAGAAAAAGTTTTTTACATTTATTATCTTTATTTTTTTTATGTTTGACTAAGCTCTAACCTTAATATGAAAGACATAAATTTATATTAAAGTAAATAATTGAACCTAACATTATGTCCATTAATGTCATATCTGATATATATTTATTTGGACCATGAAGTAATTGACATAAATTTTTTTTCTTTTCAAAGGTGTCGCTTCAAGATCCTCAAATGGATTTTGTTCCTTGCATGATAATGAATCCGCTCTTAAGATATATTTGCTTACATAAAATTAGAGGTGGATCAAGTAGTAAAGACCATTAGCTACACACCCTACACTTTAAGTATAAGCTTCAAGAGCAAAGATAGATAGCATAACATAAAATATAATATTTTTCTACAAAAAAAAAAAATTAGGGAACCAAAGATTGTATAAGAGAAACTTTATCACAATTAAAAGAAAATGTAACAAGTCAAGGGAAATTATAGAGTAGCAATCATCACATGAAGCTACATCAAGTAGTTCAAGTTGTGTGACGATGGATTTTGATACTTTAGAGCATTTTTCAGAAATACCTCCCAACATGTTTTGCACAAAAGATTATTTAGTGTATTATTATGATTGAGATTAAAAAAACAACTACAACTTCAATTTTAATAAAAAATAGATACATAAAACTCTAACCTCATTCACATTAAAAAAATACTTAAATAAAAAATTTTAATTATTAATAAAATAAAATTTAAAAAAAATTAAATTATGTAGTAAAATAAAATAAAAAAATCCTAATATTTGTTTTAGTTTTACGAATATAAAAAATTAAATTATTGTAGTAAAATAAAATTAAAAAACTTCAATTTTAATAAAACTCATTCCTCATTCACGTAATAACTACGTTAGAAGTGAGATTTGAACCCACGACCTACTTCGGAGACCAGAGTTAAGTTTAGCGCATTAAACCACTCAACCATCATGACTTATTAGTTATATTATAAAATTATAAATTATAATTATAATAAAAGTTGTATAACTAGTACGTTTTCCGGTAAGAAATATATAGAAGTACCGTCTTCATGGCCTCTGCTGCGTCGTCTACTCAAAGCAATCACTGCTCCCAGAATCGTCGTGAGTTTTTAATTTTAAGAATTGTTTGTAACATCATACCATTCTTGAACTGAAAACCCTATTACTAGGAATCACAATCACACTGAGTACCTCAGTGTTTAGGTTATAATCGTATTCTTTGAGTCTATTATTATTTTGTGTTTTGTGGGCAGGACTACCTTTCAAGGTTGGGCAAGAAGGGAGGGAAAAGGAGAAACGCGAAAATGTTTTTCCACATAGTGCTGGAGCGAAATATGCAGCTCCATCCACGCTACTTTGGTCGTAATCTTCGTGATAATCTTGTTTCCAAGCTAATGAAAGATGTGGAAGGCACTTGCAGGTGTTTTGTTCTTCATCAATATTTTTTCTTTATCGTGCTTAAATGGAAAAGAAAAGGAAATATGTATTTTTAATTATTGGATAACAATTACGGAATGTTAGTTAGGAAGTATCTTATTGTTTGATGGACGCCATGTATATAATTTAGACCAGGGAACAGACAAGCATTTGTCTTTAAGTGACTGGTTTGGACCTTGGATGGATTTAACATTTGGATTTTGAACTACTCTGCAGTGGTCGACATGGATTTGTTGTAGCGGTTACAGGGATAGAAAACATAGGGAAAGGGTTAATTCGTGATGGAACAGGGTTTGTGACATTTCCAGTTAAGTACCAATGTGTTGTCTTCAGACCATTTAAGGGGGAGATTTTGGAAGCTGTTGTTACCATGGTGAACAAGGTTTGTATAGCTCCTATCTCTTTATAGTAATGAAGTTCTGTAACTCTATATTGTGGAGATTGTGACTTGTGATGATTGAGTTATGTTTGTGTGCAGATGGGATTTTTTGCTGAAGCTGGACCTGTACAAATCTTTGTTTCCAACCACGTAAGTTTTTGTCTTTTATAATGTCTTATATCTAAAAGGTTGTTACAATTGTTCTTGGTGTTAAACACTAAATTATCTGTCCTTTATTATTCCTTACATTGGAATGCCATGGAGATTTAGATTTTGAATGTTTTTCATTTACCGTTGTTCGTATTGGAATACAATGCCAAGTTATTGGCTATTTCAAAATATTACAGTTGAGGTTTTTTGTGATATCCACCACCATCAAAAGTACTTTCCAACCCCAAAATTATTCCTTAGGGACTTGGGATAGGAAGAATGCCTGGACCTTTTTGGGTTAGGATTGGATGACCACATGTAGATAACTTCATTTCAAATCTATATCTTATTTAATATGTATTATCTAGCTATTTCCTAATTTCTTTTTTTCTAAAGGTGGAAAAATGCAGTAGTGAAAAAAAAAATGATATAACCATCTTTTTCTTTCATATATGAATGCTATCTCTTAGAATTTGGGCTTTGGGACATACACAACCTCACAAAATTGGTCTGAGAGGCGGGAACTACCTAAGCCTTATAATAAGCACTATATAGGTCATGTCGCTAGGTTATGTGCGACTAAGCAACTCCCCTCTCCCAACACACTTAAAGTGCTGAAGGCTGTACGACTGGACTACTCAAAGAGTGCGCAATTAAGGAGGGCTAGGAATGAATAGAATTTAGGAAATTTAGCAACTTTTAAGTTGGAATGGGAGCTTAGATTCCTCTAGATTTTTTTTTTCTTCCTCTTTTTATATACTGTTTGCTGATACTAACTACATCAGTTTTATGCTGGGATTACTCTTTTTTTTTTTTTTTCTTTCATTAATTTAAGATAGGTTATGTCAATACTTTGCAACTGAATTGTTTGAACATGTAGTTGTAGTTTTTTATACATATATTTGTTTGTTGAGACACTTTTTTCCCTTTTAGTTGATTCCGGATGATATGGAGTTCCAGTCTGGAGACATGCCAAATTACACTACTTCAGATGGATCAGTATGTATCTTTTATCACTTTCCCAATGGAAAAAAAGAGAGCAAATTATTTATATTTTTTGCTTTTTGTCATGTTTCGTTTGATGATTCTGGGGTATGTTTTTGTTTTAATTAATTGGTATTTTGCAGGTTAAGATTCAAAAAGATAGTGAAGTGAGACTAAAGATAATTGGGACTCGAGTGGATGCTACTGAAATTGTATGCCTAAATATTATATGCCTTATACTTCATTTTGTTAAATGCTGTTAATTTGAGCTCCATCAGTTTTATGCTAAATTCTGCTTTGAGAAATTTAAAATAATAGAAAGATTTTTAGCACTGTAAAAGATGTAGCTTTTTTCCTGCAGATTTCTTCACTATTATAAATGCCTCTGAAAAGAGCCTTTCAGTTTATGCTAATTTGCTCATGACGACCATCTTAGCAGTAGTTTGTGAATGTCGTGAAAGTGGTGATATTTTTTCATCTCTCGGATGCTAATTTATGCTCTGTTTGCTGGTAAATTACTGTGTTGGTAACTCTTGTCACTTTTCAACCCTTGTCCAAAGTAATCAACACGGAATTTTTCCAAGCAAAGTTACTAGCTACCATAAGGGAGCTATAAATTTACGCCCATTTTTGTGGTATGCAAAAAATCATTGCTACTCCATGCTGCAGCCTTACTTTATTAATAAACTCTTGAATGTCGGGAGAAAACTATGACTACATATGCTCAGTTACTGCATGCAATAAGAATGATAATAACGACCTTGTTTATGTTTACATGTTGATTGTATTGTTCCTACCATGATTATCTTGTACGTGATGTGTGAAAGAACTCATGATGCCGATAACCTTGCCTAATATCAGTTTTAGCAAGCATATGATACTAGGTTGTATGCTATTAAAGTTTTTATACTCCTGCGCATGTTTGGCTTATGTTTTCCTGCCCTTCAGTTGTAGTGCTATAGATTATGAAGTTTGCCACTGTTCAATTTTTAAAGTGAACATTTATCTGCTTTTAAATTTCAATGTTGTTTAGAACTCACTTATCTTATATAATGGGTTTTTATTTTATTTTTTTGCAGTTCTGCATAGGTACCATAAAAGATGATTTCTTGGGTGTGATCAACGACCCTGCAACAGTTTAAATACCCCTTTCAGTACTCGTCAATCGAATATAGCTTGCATGACTTGGGTTTTCCCACCTTAAATCCTCCAAAGATATTATGTTGTATTACTCGATTGTTGAAAGTACCAAGTCGTCAAGTTTTTGGTTCCAGAATTAATATTCAAACTCCCACAAGTAATTTTGGGAAATTACACCAAGCAAGATGACTGGTTCCTGTACCATTTCCATAGAATTGTTAGTGTTAGCAGCCAGTAAAATATATAAAATCCTGTTGGGACATAGTATAACTCAGTCATGGAATTTGTGAAAGAAATTGTGTAGGTTTTGTTCCTGACTTCTTAGTTAGCTGGGTTGTGAAGCAACCACTTGCCAGTGGTGAAGGATTACCTTTAAAAGACGCTAAGTGAGTAGATGCTTCAAAAACAGAGGTTGTATTTTAGAAGTTCTGCATACTTTAAATTGTTGATTATCGTTAAAGAGCCGTCATTTTTGTGCCTACACTTATACGACGGGCAATTTTCAGTGTCACTTGTGTGATAGTCTAAAATTTAGTGGAAATTTCGTTGTCTTTTTTTTTTCTTTCAGATCTTAACTCTTTTTTTTTTTTTTTTTTTGCAAAGATTTACAGAAAACTTTATTAATTATTTTAACATTATAATGCCGTTTTTTTCGTATGTTGCACTAATCTCCTAATAAAATTTTTGTTTTGTAAGGGTTAAGAAAGTAGAATTATTATATGCAATTCGAAAAAGCGTTCTTTAAATTTGTAGTATCAACTTGGGAGAGTTTATTTAAGTTTCTAGTTGATCCAATTTTTTTTATTATTTTGAAATTTATTCACTGCCCAATAATATATTGATAATATTATGGCAAATTATATTCTATGATTGAAGAAATGCAACCTAAAAAAGTATTTAAAGGTGTATTTTAAACACATAACATTTATTTAAATATAAAAATATCAATGTAAAATATTATATATATATATATATATATATATATATATATATATATATATAGAGAGAGAGAGAGAGAGAGAGAGAGAGAGAGAGAGAGAGAGATCATATAAAATCACATTTAAATTGAAATCAAACCAATTCAGTTCAGATTTCTATTAGATCTTGTCATATGAACAACCGTGACACAATGAGATTTTTTCATCTGAAAACGTATAATATTATGAGGAATGGGATCAGAATTATCCCAACTTATATTAATTTTTGTCGATAAATCCCTTTTCAAACAATAACATTCTTTAGTAACAAGAGTTAAACAAAGGGAATTTATTTATAGAAGGAATGAATGCAAAAAGTGCATAGTAGTCCTGTTAAACTGTAGCAGGTTACCAGTTGTTCTTTGTTAATTGAAGAATCTTTCTTTTCCATTTTTTCATAGATACTTACCTTGAAATTTTGTTAGAAGACAAATCCATTATAAGATAATCATTCATTCTTTGCTTTTGGGGCATTATTGATGAGAAGCACCCCACATGGTGGCAACATACTGCTGGCACTTGCTGCAACAGCTTCCATTTTCATGCAACAAATCTGGTTCTGCCCTTCTGGTTTTTCTTGTCATAGATAATTTCTTGGCAATGGACACATCAGTTGGCTTGCGATTGTGCCTGTACTCCACTGTCGCTTGTTCAAAAAATTCAACCTGAAACATGTTCAGCTTCAGCTTGGGGTTCATGTGGTCTCTCACAAATGCAAAAGCTAATTGGTCTCTTGGGTTAAAAGCCTCCAACTCATTGAATACAAGACATGAGAATAGGTTACTGCTTAGTCCATGTTTCGTCAGTATCAGTGCACTGTCTGGCACATCTGCCAATTATATGTGATTCCTTAATAATCACTTAGATGAAACTTCCAAACATAATTGCAAAATTCAGAGAAAGTCAATCATAAATGGGATACAATACCACCTTTTCTAAAGTTCATGACACTATATATGGCTGCAATCCATATTCACAGTAGGTCTCCATCTGCATCTTCAAGGCATTGACATCCCACCATTTCTTCCATCTTGCAGTGGCCATTGCTTCTTCGATGGTATGAACAAAATATGGGTGTTTTGATATAGCCATGTCTGCATTCTGAGATATAACAAGTGAATGAATGAGGAACAATGGATCAACCATTAGTTGCAGCTTTGGATCAATCCAAACACTGAATTGGGAATTTGGGAAAAGTCTATGAACTAAATATTTTGGTATAACACCATTCATTGCTGGGTTGTGATACAAATCCTCTTTTGCAACCTTCACAATCACACACCTATATGTATTCACTGGATTTTTTTGAGATTAAGCCATGGAATTAAAGTCCTTTGAGGGTAACATCATCTAGAACCAGACATTTTCTAGTGTTTGGGACCCAAGACCCCTAGGTTGCCGGATCTTGTCGTGGTCATTGAAAATTGCTGAAACTACAACTACACTTTCACACTTTTCCATGGCAATTCGATCTGCATCCAGAGAGAGAGATGATATTAATCGTTGATAATGCTTATTTAAATCGTTAATATTCTTATTTGAATTGGTATCAAATTTAGTTGAAACTTAATTCTCATCAAATTATTTACTAGGCGATATCTTTTTATTACTTTTGTACTTCATATAAAATTATCAATTTAATAATAAATACAATCATATCAACTTTATATTATTGAACTAATCAAAATAAAATAAAAAATTAATTAAATCCATACTGCAGTATATTCAAAATGATAATAAAAAAAAAATTCTGAGTTTCTAAAATCTCTCCACCTGTTCAAAATCCTAAAATCTTAATTCTATCCTAATTTATTCGAAAATCTTCAAATTTCAAATCCTAATAACGATAACAATAATGGGCAGCAGCAAGAGGAGCGCGACCATTATGCGACTCTCAACGACCAATACGCTATCCAGACGAACAAACGACGACAACAAACAGCAGTGATTGGGGAAGGATGACGACAAGCAACAGTGATTGGAGAAAGAGCGAAATCTGTGACAAAAGACAAGGAGAGTAGAAAAGATCTAAATTTTCTTTTCCTTGCAAGTTTACTCAAAATCCACTGAATTTACCGAATTAACTTTCACAACTCAATAAATTAACACGTGGGTTTGAAAAACAGAAAAAGCGTGAACATAGATATTTTCTGATCTATAATAATTTCGTATTTTATCTTTAGATGTATAAAGTCCAACAAAACTTTAAATTCCATTTAGAACAAATTACTCATACTTTGTTTTAATAATGGATTTTGTACGAAATATTCAACCATTTTTATTTTTATTAGTTTTCTCATTATTTTATAACTTTGATTGCCCATCTTTTAGTTTCCAAAATCATTTATTTTCAATGTTATTTTATTCATTATATTTCAAAAGTTTATGTCAGCTCATGTTTAGTTCTCTGATTTTTTATTTTTTTTTACTATTTAAAAAATTAATCTTTATTCAATACTAGTTTATGGCTTTTTTCTCAATCAAAACTATATCATTTAAGAAAATATGCATTTAATAAAAAATTATTCTTTATTCTCAGTAAGCTAATTCAAGATTTGATGAAATAAGACCGAAGCTGTTTACACCTAACTTTAAGTTTTTTTTTACTTTAATTCGCGAAATTCTCATTTAATCATTATTTTATCATAAATATTTTATATAATTTGTACATAAGTTGAACAAATATCATTTTTTTCCCTTCAATATCTATTCTATTGAAGTAAAAAAAAAAAAAAAGTCAAGCATTCTTTTATTCAATTTATCTTCTCATTCCGTTGGTAGATAGAAAAAAGTTATAAGAAGTGTAAAAGAAAAGAAAAAAATAAAAAAATAAATGAAAATAAAGTTATTTGATTGAAAAAAAAAACAAAGCTAATGAAAATAATTAAAAAATATAAAATTAATAATATAAAGTATTTATTTTTAGTATTTATTATTGTTATTATTATTTTACTATTATTATAAAAATGAAATGGTAATAAAAACAATAATGATAATAAACTTGATATTTAAACTGATATTTTCAACATAATTCATCATGTTGTCAATATAACAGGTTAAGTTGTGTCTTCAACAAATTTTGTTTGTCCTCCTTTCTTTTCTTTTTCATGGAAAACTTTTCTCTTTTGAGATTCACTCTCCATTATAGAATTTACTCTCCCATTCTTCTCTCTCAAAAGACCAAATCCTCTTTTCTTTCTCATAACCCATTTTTCTCTTCTATAAAACAGGTTTAATTTTTGAAAAAAAATAATCCTTTTATATAGATATTTTTTATAAAATTAAATTAATTTTCTACATTTCTAATATTTTTTATCTAAATTTATTATCCTTTTACCAAAGCTTTATAACTTCATATTGTTGCATTAGTTTTAAATATCTTCCTTTGAATAAAGTTGTTCTTTCCTTATTCTCGTGTATTTTTAAAAATATTATCATTTTTAATGAATTTTGTTTTCAATTTTAATTTTAAAATATTTTTTCTGACTTTTTATTTTTAACTAGTATACTATAATCCTGTATGTAAAACCTTTGTTAAATATCCACTAAATTCAGTGTCAATTTAAAACCTTCAACAGACACTTCATAGCTCCAAATCTCTTACATCACATGAAATGAAATGTCTTCCAAGAGTCTCAATAATTTTTCACTCACTCGTGCATCCACAGAGAAGGAAGGGAAAGGAGGAACTGACGAGAATCACTAATTGGAAATTTCTTTAAGAATCCACATGGCACTTCCCTGCTATCGTTTTCAAAGTAAGAAAACCTTAAATGGCTGCTTAGATTCCCACCAAAACTATCACCTTTCTCCTGCATGTACCTAACATTAATTCCTTGTGCAATATTTAGGGTTCTTGCGCAAATTCTGAATCTCCTTCAAAACATCCCAGTAATCTGAACTCAGAAACAAACACCCTTTAACCAAAAGACACTATCTTTATCATCAAAATATAAAAATGTCGCTAAACATTTTGTGGGGTCATAACAAGCCTTGGCATTAATCAATATATAGTACCTGAAAAATTGAGAGGGGTTGAGATGGCATACTTGTGCTGCCCATAGGAAGAAGGGGAGGGGAAGAGAGAAGAAGGTTGAATTGGATCAAAAGGGCGTGATCTGAAAAGACATTTTGGATTGAGAGGAAATGACGTAAAGAGCAAGGAAGAGAGAGGTGAAGAAGAGATAGAACAAAGAGAAACAGAGGAGGACATGTTTGGAGGTTCTTAATGTTATTAGGTTCCCCATCAAGTAAGTGCTTTCCATGGATTTCCTTCCTTTGAGTTTTTGCTTTGATTATCGAAAAAGGAGTCATGTGATGATGATATTCATTGTTGCATCAAGTCAAGACCCATACACATTCATTCATGGGAAATGGGACCTTCTTGTATGGTAGTTGTACTTCCATGACAAACTATAATCACCGGGAGATGGTCTCCATTGAAATAATGAAGTGAATAGATTAAATGGCACATTAGTATAATTATCTTTCTATAACAAATATTCTCTTAGGTATAATTTGTAGTTATGACAGATTTTTTTTTTTTACAGGATTATATATATATATATATATATATATATATATATATATATTACCTTATTTGTGCTCCTTTTTAAGATGAATTTTTTTAATAAAAATAGATAAATTTCATCGTACATATATAAACGAGTAAGATAGTATTAGATATTATTTCTTGATTTATTTATCCATTCCTATGACGTTCGAACCCTATACTCGACTTCCACACTAATCCCTCAAATCCCTTATTTCTTCCTTTTAATGAAAATCATACTCTCGTTTGTCCCCACCTTATTGGATGACAATAATTATCACATTTGGGTTTGAGCTATGAAACTCGCGCTAAAATCTAAGAATAAGCTGAAATTCGTCGATGACACTTTCTCCGAATCACCATCAATCAGCTCTCTTCACAAGCCTTGGGATTGTTACTTGTTACAACACAATGGTTATTTCTTGGATCCAATGATCGGTGCATAAAATCATTCTTAAATCCATTATCTGGATCGAACATGCTTTCGATTTTTGATAACCATCGCTTTCATCGAAGAGATATTTTTCGTATTTAAGATTTACAGGAAGATTTATACAAATTACACCAAGGTACTATCTCTGTAACTGAATTTTACACAGAGTTACATACTTTTTGGGAGGAAATAGATAGTTTCATCCCTTTGTTACCTGCACATGTATTATCAAGATGCTCTTGATTCTGCCTGATGTTATAAGCAACAAAATTATGTCATTCAATTTTTAAAAGGCCTTAATGATCAATATGTCTCCGTATAATCTTAGATTATGTAAACCAATCATCTTTCTGATATTACCAAAGTTTTTAACATGGTTATCCAACAAGAATGTCAATTATATTTCATTCTTTTGAAATTGTTCTTGATTCACAGGCCCTAGTTGTTACTACTCCGAATTTGCAGTCCAAGAATGATGATGTTTCTAACTTGAATCATTTCTATAGAGGACGAGACAGAAGTCATTCCTTTCTAACGGGTCATGACAGAAATAATGGAAGGAGAAGTTTCCATGATAATAAATTTTGCACTTACTGTGAATGCACAAATCACACAGTGGATTCGTGTTATTTCAAATATGGTTTTCCACCAATATATAAAAATTGCATGACCAATAATGTCGCCTCTGGTCTGGTGCTTTTCCATCTAACCCTATTACTACCAACATCTCCAACCTTCACGAGATCTCATGGTCAGTGCCTAAATTTCCTGCGCATACAACAAATTTGGTGTTCACTCCTTCGGTTAGTTCTTCTTTCATTATTCCTAAAACCCTTTTTGTTCTTCCAGGTAAAACATCTCCGCAATGGCTTCTAGATACATGTGCCAATGATCATATCACTTTTTGATTTTCATATTTTTGTCACTCATAATTCTATTTCACCTATTTCCATTACTTTGCTAAATGTTGTACAAGTTTTCACTTCTATATCTAGTAATGTTATGTTGTCAAATTCCTTAATTCTTCATGATGTTCTTTTCATTCCCAATTTTTATGTAAATCTTATTTCTGTTCAAAAATTGATCCAAACCTTGCACTGTCATTTCCTCTTTTTAATCTAACTCTTGTATTATTTTGCAGCAAATCTCCTTAAGGATGATTGGTTCGGCTAGTTTGCACCAAAGATTGTATGTGCTAAATCTGTCTCACTCTTATCACAATCATCATCCTATTTCTGCTCATACCACTACTATCAAACCCAAAGATGCTTCTCTTTGGCATAATAGATTAGGCCATGTCTCTAACTCTATTTTTTCGTATTATTTCCCAACAATAACATTGTATCCCTTACTCTGTAAATTTCTCTCCTTGTGACATTTGTCATTTTGCTAAATAACACAAATTGTCTCATTATAGTAGTGAAACATAGTCACATAAAATTTTGACATTATTCATAGAGACATATGGGGACCATATTTTGTACCTTCTAATTGCGATTACAAATATTTTTTCACTTTAGTTGATGATTATTCACGTTTTACCTGGATTAAATTTATGAAATCCAAATCTGAAACCCACACTCATTTAATACATTTCATTTCATTGATTGAAACTCAATTTCATACTAAACTCAAATGTTTTCAAAGTGACAATGGAGTAGAATTTTATTAACTGATTTGTTTTCATCCAAAGGTATTCTTCATCAAAGACTTGTGTTGAAACGCCTTAACAAAACGATGTTGTTAAACACAAACATCAATATCTTTTAAATATAGTTCGAGAATTGTTTTACCAAGCTCAATTACCTCACATCTTTTGGTTTTATGTTGTTCAACAAGTTGTTCATATCATTAATAGACTGCCTACTCCATTATTGCATTCTAAATGTCCTTATGCAGTGTTATATGATAAACCACCTAGCGTGATCCATTTAAAGGTTTTTTGTTGTCTTGCTTATGTCATTACGCTTTAAGATCACAAAACTAAATTTCAGTCCCGTGCCAGAAAAACTATTTTCTTGGGATATAGGGAAGGTACTAAAAGCTATGTTTTGTATGATCTTCATACCTATCAAAATTTTCTTTAAAGAAATGTCATTATTTATGAAACTGTGTTTTCTTTTCATTCTTCCATCACTCCTTTCTCAACTTTTTCTATTTTTCCTCTATTATCTAATATATCTTCTTCTGCAAATATCTTATCCTTGCTCGAGCCTATTCATCACTCTCCTGCTACATACATTCCATCTATATCATCTCCTGCAAATACCTTATCCTTGCCTGAGTCTATTCATCACCCTCTTACTACAAATATTTTATTTATATCCTCTCCTGCAAATACTTTATTCTTGCCAGAGCCTATTCTCACCCTCCTACTACAAACATCCATCTACTATAAATTATAACCAGAACATTAGTTCTCCTACCCTGCCTTCTTCACATATTAGACACTCCACCCGATCTCATAGACCACCCTTTTACCTAACAAATTTTCATTGTCATTCCATAGTTGCTTCTAGCAGTTCCACACACCCCCTTAAGGGTACTTGTTTGCATCCCTTATCCTCAGTTCTTGATTATTCCAAATGTAATTCCTCTTATAAAAAATTTTGTTTTGTTGTTAATAACATTTCTGAACCTACTACTTTCTCCCAAGCATTTAAATTGTATTGTTGGCAAAAGGCTTTGAATGTTGAGTTACAGGCTTTAAAGCAAAATAACACCTGGTCTATTGTTGATCTCTCACAAGGAAAGAGTTTCATTGGTTGTAAATGGGTTTATATGGTTAAATATCATGCAAATGACATTGTTGATAGATACAAATCCCGCTTAGTGTCCAAGGGTTACACTGAGTTAGAGGGAGTGAATTATTTTGATACATCCTGCCCTGTTGTCAAGATTACGAATGTCTGTGTTCTTCTAACCATAGTAGCAATTTAAAGGGTGGTTTCTACACAAACTTGATATGAATAATTCCTTTATTCATGGAGAGCTTCATGAGGAAGTCTATATGATCCCTCTACCTGATTTGCTTCTACCGAGTTCTTCTCAAGTTTGCAAACTTCACAAGTCGTTGTATGGACTCAAGCAAGCTAGCAGACAATGGCACAATATTCTTTCTTCCGTTGATCAATCTTTGTTTGTCAAGGTTACTTCCACTTCTTTCACAGCTTTATTAGTTTACATGGATGACATTGTCTTAGCTGGTGACGATATGAACGAAATTAAATGTGTCTTGGATACTAAATTCAAAATTAAAGATCTTAGGGCTCTTCGTTATTTTTTGGATTAGAAATTGCACAGTCTAAGTCCAGCATTCATATGAACCAACGTAAATACACTTGCATAAATAAACTTGCTACCACTCCTTTTGATCCCTCTACTAAACTTTAGGCTAATCATGGACAACAGTATTCTGATACTAATGTTTATCGCATATTAGTCGGTAAACTGTTCTATCTCACACTTATGAGCTCTGACATTGTCTTTTCTGTCCAGCAGCTTAGTCAATTCATGACTCAACCTCTTAATGTTATTTATAAAGATTTCATCCGAGTTCTTAGATACTTAAAAGGTTAACCTGCCCAAGGGTTGTTTTTCTCTGCCTCTACTGACATTCATCTTTCTACTTTTGCTGATTTGGATTATTCCTGTTGTTTGGATACTCGTCATTTGATCATCGAATTTTGTGCTTTCCTTGGTTCTTCCTTGATTTCCTGGAAATACAAGAAGCAATCTATTGTCTCTCGTTCATCCTCCGAAGTAGAATATCAAACATTAGCCAACCTCACTTGTGAAATTCAGTAGTTACATTATCTTTTTCGTGATCTTCATGTTTCATTGGGTTCTACTGCAGTCTATTGTGACAATCAGTTTGTCATTTACGTATCTCATAATCATGTATTTCATGAGTGCACTAAACACATCAAGACAATCGTCATATGGTTCGTGAGAAAATTCAACAAGGCCTAATTCATCTTTTTCCTATTTCGTCTTCCAACCAACTTATGGATACTTTTACTAAACCTCTTCATCATACAATTTTCGACAATTCTATATCTAAGTTAGGTATTTGTGACATTCACCGTCCAACTTGAGGGGATTATTAGCATAATTATTTTTCTATAACAAATCTTGTTTTTCTCTTTTTGTATTATTTTTAATTATGATATATTCTTTCCTTTCTGTTATACGGAGTTATATATATACCCTGTTGTACTCCCTTTTA